TGTGGCCACTGTTTTCTAGTTGGCCGATCACACTGAGTACGCTTAGTTGCATGGAATCCTGTAACCCCGTTACTCTTTTTGCTTTCCTTTTACTGCGGATCTTCACCTCTGGACTTTTTTGCCGTTTGCAATGATAGATTGTAAGACCGGTTATAAACATTACGAGTATGGGAGCATTTGCATTGACTCACAACAACCTTTATACATACAATTTTAGTATTTTTCCTTATAGATGTACCAAGATGTTATATTAAATCAACGAGTGTGCGTATAAATTGATGGAAAAATTTATTAACAAATCTATACAAATAAGTACTAAATAAAAATCAAATACTGACTTACAGGCAAAGCATTGCATTACATTGCATGAAATTTCATTATAAGACGTAAATGTTTAGTAAGTAGGACTTTTACAAAATTCCCACGGGAACAAAAACAACAAGTTTGCACGGACGAAGTCCGGAACAACAGCTCTAGTTTTTATTTAATTATTGAATTTTTATTCACATGGGTAACTCTGACTAATTTCACTGTCTCGCCGTTAATAACGAAACATGAAAATTTTATATGTATACAAATGTACATATAATAAAGAAACTCGTTTTATCTCATCTTAACAAATTAATTAATTAACCAGTTTCTATACGAAATATACAATATCTGCCAAGTTTTAAAACAAAAGTTAAGAACTTTCATTTAAGCAAGTTGGCATTTTCGTAATTTGTTTATCTGGTTAGTATAGTTGTTTCTTTACATACTTAACAATTTTATAAATTTGTGTTTTATGTATGTATGGAGGTAATTATATGTATATATAATAGAAAATAATTTTATACATTTACACTATTGTAAGTATTACATCTACATATGTTTTTAAAAATGACAGAATTCTCATCGTGCCTCCTATCAAACTATTTACTCTCAATCCAAAGGTTGCCTGGAACTGGCTGACTGGCTTTAGCGATAAGGCCACCTATTGTTTCCTCAGTGTGGACATTTCTCTTAATTTTTTATAATAAAAAATGTAAATAATAAGTTTACTACTGAATTCTTTTGGAGGAACCAATAAAGAGTATCTATCTAATTAAAATTTAAATAAAATTACTTTTCGATATATCGGTAATTAAAAATCAAGTTTAGATCAGATAATGTTTATACGCCATGAAAGAAATGTTTAATGGGACTTTGACGGCGGCGGGGAGAGCACCCGCTGAGTCGAGAAGCTCTCGAACTGTGAGTCGTCGTCGTCACAATTTAACCGGACACCGTGCAAGATGCTGCCTCCAGAGCGAGTCGTGCACCGCAGCGCCTCCGCGATCCTCAAACGGCTCTCGCTGCATACTTGCAGCACATACTCTCTTGTACGTATTCGTCGGAAACGTTCATTCATAGTAAACGCCCTCCGCCCGCCTTACATCACAGCGCGCTCTAAATAGTATCCGCCCAGCGTACAGCGTCGTTTCACTCGTAGCGCGGCTTAGTCACAACGTTCACAAATCTGTCAGTGGACGCCGTGGTGTGCGCACTCTTATTATGTGCGAAATCGTAGCATTATGTCCCGTCCGCCGCATCTTCCGGACTCAAGTAATAAAGACAACGAATATGTACACATACGAAGCCTTATTGCAAATATTCATAGGCCGAGAAATGTATCGAGACCGCCCTCCATTGCGTTCGAGGGAGCTCCGCTCGAGGTTGTTCAGGAGTCCCCACCGTCGTCAGACTCTGAACGTAGCGTCTCTACATCGGAAAAATCGGAGCTGAACACACCAAATGAGGAGATACCGCCACCACGAGTGAAAAGTAACAGTATCGCAGGGTCGATGCTGGCCCCTCCATCATTACACCACCATAAGCGCCGAAGACCGTCCTTCTTGCACCTGTCTATTGGCAGTGGTGAACACATGGGCCCCATGTCCGCAGGAACACACTTCAATGTGCCACGTTTCACGGTAACGGCGCCGCCTGGGGAACAACGCCGCATCAGCCATGGATTCGCAGCGTTCCATGGTTTCGCTCTCCGCCGACATTCAAACACGGTCTGCGCAAGGATGATTGCAAGTGTGAATGCGTTACTGTTTTTACGAAATAACTTGGACTGTACAATGATACTAACGGCATGCTTAAAATTATGATGCAATGAAATGAAAAAAGTGCATGGTCTGGAATTTAATCGAAAAATGCTACTTATTTGATGAAGAAAACAGTTGTATCATCTCAGCTGATGTGTTATGGTGTGTGTGTTTTCCTTATAACATCGTAATTTATCGAATAACCCAACATACATGTTTGGGAACAATATTTTTTATAATTAGATTACAGTTAGTGTTTCCTGAAATCGATTTATGACTAATAACAAGATAAAATAGAATTTTATCATTAACAAACGTTACATATATATACAGTAGTGATTCCTTCAGTATATCCTATGTAGTTAAATCATATAAATGAATTAAATGTTCATAATATTAATTACCGTTAAATTAGTCACCTTATAATTAGTATAATATAAACGGAAAATACAAGATAAAGTATTGTAAATATGAATAACAGTAAAATTTTTGTTTACTTTTAAATCAAGAAAAACATATATCACAAATAATTGTACCAAATTTTTAATGCGGGGAACTAACTGAAAATACAAAGAAGGATACTAAATTTATTATAATAATCGATAGTCGGCTAGTTGCAATGAAAATTCTATCTCCACAACAATTATGTACGTACGATAATAACTGTCTACGTTATCATTACATAGATATTAGTGTTTACGTTATATTTTATAGGTATCCAAACATTTTCTTGTGTAATTATTGAGCTACCTTGTGATATCAGACGTTATCACTATGAATATGTTCTTTATATATCGCGAAACTCGCCGAGCTAGTCGGTATAACATTGTGCATTGATCTGACCGGATTTGTACCATTATTACAGAATTAATTATAATATTACCTTAATTTAATATTGTGTGTTTTCCTGTTAATAAAATTTCCTTAGCTATCAATATGCTACGTTGGAGCTTATACCCTAGTGATGTGCGTGAGCATCGAAATTATTTCCAGTTCTCATAAAAATATCAAAATATATTAAAATTTATTTTTATTCCAAATAAAATATAGTCTTTATATTAATGTATATTTTCTATTATATTCTGTGCTTTTATTTTTTTTATGTCGTATATTTATTGGAATTTTTTTAAAATTTATGTTGAAGATAATTTTATAAATTGTTTATCGGCTTAAGATTCAACTAATACATTTGAATACGTTTTTTTAATCGCGAATTTGAGATTTGATATCTTTAAAAGTATTTATTTTTAATATTTTTGATATAATGGCACTTCCTCACTATCTACGTAAAATCAATTTATCGGTGAGATCACTACGAATAATATCATAAAATATACAATGTGCTAATATTTTAATTTTCTGTTTAATATTTGTGTGTGATTTTGTAACTGCTTGCTACACAACTGTTACGTTTCTATGCCAGAGTTTTCGTGGATGCTTTATTTGATAGTATTATAAATAACCCATTATATTTTTCTTCATAGCGTGTTTACGTGAGTAGGTATTTAGACATGAACCGTATTACTTTCCAATAGTACTATCAATTACTCTAACGCATGTCTTTTTTACTCTTTTTTCTCCGTTATTACTGTTATGTGTAAGTGGCCATGCATTACAGATAAGTATTAATGCAATATCAGTATACATATATCATTAGTATAATTGTATTCTACCATTATGAATAATTGAGATGACTTTTTACGTATCATAAAACACTTAAGTCTATAACAGAGTATTCCGTTAGTATTAAAATAGTTACATAAAATCTCTGAAAATTAAAAAGTCCACATTTAGTTGTCTTTTATTGCATTTGTTTATCGATCTATCTGGTTGTTTCTTTACTACATACATAAATAATTGGTATATATGTTTAGTGTATAGACATTTAAGAGATAATTAATAAAAATCTCCTTGCATCTTGCTTTGGAGTGTGATCCCTTGGATCTTGATTGCATTACTGGTTTTTGTCTTCATCTATGTTTTATATATATTATTAATTTGTTGATCCAATATTAAATATTTTTATTTATGTCTATATAGTCTATGTTCGGTAACTACTGTTTTTCCCATTCTGTTGTCATCCCATTAGATTTAACAAGTTCATATGTTAATGTTACCTATACCTATACATGTTTGTATGTTCGTAATAATGTAACTAAGACTTAAACTGAACGTTCAAAATAATAATTTTCATCTCCGTATACTTTGAAAACTAATGTGTGTCTAATAATACTGAACATTTATTTTTATTGTTATTTTGTCTGTAATTTTACTCACATTACCTGCCTAAGTTAAATCTGTCCAACTATTATGTTTAATTGTTACTTTATTCCAAAATAAGTATTGTAACGTCTATGTGACTGTATTACCAATGTTTATTTAAATGTTTAACATTTTGAACAATGTGACAGTCATTTTGTATTCTATCATTATTTTTATGGATCATTCAAATTTTACGCGAGTTAAATATAGTTGAAATATTATATTTTGACATGCATTAGTATTCTAAAAATGTTGATATTAAATAACTTAAACTCAGAAAGAGGACGTTCTCAATTCGTCTTCATTATTTGTAGCGATATAGTCCCTAATAGTGAATCGAATTTGATATATAGATAATCGTTATAGTTACGAATATGGGGCATGGGACTAGTCCCATATTCGTTTCATGACAATTATGCTTTGTAATCCAAAATCCTGTTATAAAACAAACTCCACTTGAAGAGACATTACTCCGCATTCTGAATTCAAATATTTTTCATGTGAAGGGCCAACAATTTAAGTTACTATTTTTGTTTCTTTTTTTTTTTTTTTGTAGAAAATGTAATTCTTGAATCGGTCCCAATAGAAATGCCCCCTATTTCTGACACATAAATAGAATGTAATATCAACGATATTGTTTAAAATTTAAATAAATGTATCGCGCAGAGCCTTCATCGCAGCGAGTCGATGGTATCGTTGGCGTGCTTCAAGACGCTCTCGCAGCTGGTAAACAGCGACACCACCGCTGAACTGCAGCAGTACCTTGATACCAACAAGAATGTCAACGTTGATGACAAAGACGAGGTAATAGAGATTGGTATTCTTTAAGAAATCATTAATTATTGGTGTTTCCGCCGTTAAGCAGTTGTGCTTACATGGCTATGGTATAAAGTATAAAAGGTGTAAAGGGTATTCTGGTATTTTTTTATGGGTGAAAATGGTTTGGTAACCCCGCCTGCGCTAACGGGATATGCTAACGGAGCACCAGTGAAGGATGATTGATGAGAATGAAAACAGGCCAGTAAGCCCATCATGATGAATTTATCAGGAATAACCATGAAGGTGAGTATATGACAATGGAATTCTTAGTCTCCATTACTAACAATCCCTTTCCTCTCGGTATTCTGGTATTAAGAGTGAGATATGACAGTGAAATTACAGACTATAGAGGCATAACACAAAAATCCGAGGGAAAGATATTTTTAGTAGTGGGGTCTAATTATTTACTTCCATTGCAAACAATATACCCTATTACGTCAACCTACACTTGGTTCCCCCTGGAAACCTCACGGGTAGAGGTAGTCACTTACTATCTTACTTGATATAGCTGCATGCTCGTTGCACCTATTAAAAAAAACACTAAAGTTTACAAGAATGTATAAACTTAGTCACTTACCATCAGGTGAGCCGCATGCTCTTTTCCCCCTGTGTTGTAAAATAAATAAATAAATAAACAATACAGTGTATTCTGCTTTGTTGAGTGCTTTTCATATCTATACCCTAATCTAGTCACAGAACAAAAGCAAATGATTATTCTGTAATATTCATATTTCAAATGGAAATATAAGCAAATTCAAAACTATAATAATAATAACTTGTCATACATTATATAATAAATATGTATACACATAATCTTATCATATTATCTCAGTGTTACAATTTATACTCGTAGTATAATTTTACTAGAAAACAACTAAGTATAGACTTACTAATGACTTAATCAAGCCTACATGATAAACTCAGTAACAATAAATTATATTGTTATAGTGAAAGTTAATTATAATACTTCCTATCATCAATTGCGTGTTTTCGAAATTCAAATGTCATACTTGAAAAGTATGTTTATTAAACCGATTTTGATATCAATGTCTTAAGCATATTTAGTCCTATTTTATAAAAGGAAAATGGAATGGTAATCTCCTGCGCTTTTGTTGAAAAAAGAAAAACTAGTGTACTGACTAAAGTGTTGTAAAATTATAAGAATAATCCTTTATTTGAAACTTACTATACTTTAATGTAACCACATGATGGCATGTAAATTTGAACTATTTTTCACGCTTAGCATTTTATTTGGGAATGTTTAAACTATTATGTACTTATATGAGTATTATGAAAATTATTCTTAGACATTTGACTTTGATACAGAATGGAACGACGGCACTTATGTGCGCTAGTGAAAACGGCCGCGTGGCGGCTGTTCGGGCACTGCTGGCTGCGGGCGCGGACCCATGCGCCAGCGATACAGATGGCTGGACATCGCTGGCGTTCGCGGCCCGTGGCGGTCACCTCAGCGTCGTAAAGGAACTGTTTGATGCTGGCGTACTCGTCGACTCCAGAGACTGTGTAAGCAATTAATATAGTTATTATCAACATTTAAACAGCTGCTAAATGGGCTAATGAAACTCCAAAGTGTAGGTCAACGGGCAAGAATTTTAGAATCACATGAGTCTATTCTAAAGGTCTGTGTAATTTAAGCTACCTTCAGACTTTCTTAAACAGTCTTGATTGGCAGGACGAACTATATTTTCACACACAATATTTGTAAACATAAAGACTAAATGCTGAGACAAATTACTATCGGTGATTTCTACGAGTAGATTAGCTTAACTATATACTTGCTAGTACCCATGGCCCCACTCGTGGTCATATCGCTATATTTAATGGCCTTTAATAATTTATTAGTTTTGTAACCTTATACATTACTAAAGAAATGAGCAATCAAATGCAAAAATATTTTTTTCCTTTCCGACTGGTACTTCCACAGATTAACGATTTCAAATAATAAACTCTTCCGCTTTATTATATTAATATAGATTTATTGAAAGACAAAAAGATTTTAATATATTCAATTCAGAATTGGCAAAGATGTCACATAACATATAAAGTACGCCTACATTAGGCAGTAAGATATCCTCCTTTTTTCAGAAGTATAAAACCCAAATGCATTTTGTCCAGTTTCTATATTTCTAAATACTCTTTCGTTGTGGATGCCCAGTACCTACACCACAACAAATTTCGTCTTTAAGCATTGACTTTAAATAGTATTTCGCTTTAATATATACAATTGTAAGATACGTTATTTGTCCAAACAAAATTTTTGTTATTTTCTTGTTTGACAATTATATTGGCATGATGCGCAGCGTCTGTAAGAATGTTTTGAAGGATATTTTTGTTCTGTTTATGTTCAGTACATCTATTTTTAATCTTCATATATTATAATTAGGTGTATTATAATAAATAAGGTATTTATTAAGTACGTTGTGCAGTTGAGGGCTTTTTATCCACGGACAACATGTTTTGTTGCTTGTTTCTTCTGTCCGAGTTTGTTTATGACGACATTATTTTCTTCTTGCTCAATCTCTCATGTATGAGGATCACTGTCATTAACAATTCGTGTCCATGTAGCACGACCCTGCGGAACATACACAGCCTCGTTGTTGATACTACAATCAGCTGTGCCCGTAATAGTATCAGGCGATCTCGTAGCGGCACGCCCTCTAAGTCTACGATCTATTTGCCCCAAAGTGAGTAGTATGCGTTATAGTATGGAATTAGTTTTCATTCTTCTTTCGGTCTTCTCAATATCCTTCTCCGGCACTATATTTTCATAGAATCAATGCAATAGCATTGATACATTTTAGTCTGGTTAAATTAAACATATGAAATAGCATTCAACTATGCACGCGAGTTGTGCATATAGACAAAAGAAAATTTTGTCTAACAAAATCTCAGTCGTTTGCGCAAGCCTTAATGCACGTGGAATTCAGTGTATGTCAAGCCTTATGTACAGGTTCGATGTGCCTTCTGCTATTTATATACAAGCAGTTTATTCTTCAACGTATTAATTGATCATAAATACCGCATTGAATAATCACTTTTACGTCCTTATCTGACGTATTTTTCTTGCCCAATTAATTTAATAATTTTAATATACAACAATGAGACTAATTTGCTTTTATTGCTATAAAATCATATTTATTTACATTTTCTGTATCTGATATGGACTATTTTATACTATATACTTTTTTGGGTACTTTTGGTTATAGATACAAACCGCTTTTAATTTATAAAGTCTGCATGTAATTTGTCTGTGAATAGATGATTCATTTCCTAATAATTCACTCTCCTTTAGTGATCCTAGTTCTACATATCAGTACTAATATGTTACAATGTTTGTATTGGAATTGGAAACAATCGGTCAGAAGAAAATGCAAATGCACTTGTCTGACCTAAATATTCATATTAGAGCAATAACCAAAATGTATTCTGGACTGTACACAAAATTTAGTATATTTATACTGTAAGATGGATCACTGCCAAGATGTGACGGGACATCCTAAATGACACATTCTTTTATCTGGTTAAAATGGAAGTGTTATAGCAATTATGGAACATTTTTTTCTTTAATAGTATTGTGATTATCTTTAGAAAATAGTATTATGGACATGTCGCATTCCTGTTTTCATGTTAGAGGTTTATACAGTTTCTTTTATATGTTTTAAAAATTCGTAAAGATTGTTTGACTTTTTGAAATATAGCACTATTAAAGTATTTTATTTTTAGTCTTTACCCATATATGTTCTTGTATATTTTGTATATTGACTAACTGAGATAAAATGTAGTTACCTTTCTCTATCTCAAATAGTACGTACTTCTCAAATTTCTTGAATTTTATTTGAGCCTTTAAAATGCTAAGAGCTAAAAACTTACTTTCACATTTATAATATTAGTAGGAATATATTTATTTAAATCACCAACATCATCCTTCAAGCCTTTTTCTATTATTGAACAACATCTTAATATATTTTTGCTTTATAATCCGTTATTCTTGCAGTCGTATTATTTGCAACTTGTAAATTTTTATATCTCATGCATTTTCATGTAGTCCTTTCGTATTGTGTTGAATTATACTGTTCCATGTTGTCTATCTAGTTTCTTACTTGTTATTTTTATAATTAATATTTGGTATAGAAATATATACCAAATATATATTTATAAATATATATATTTATTACATATGCATATATATAAACATCTATTTGGGCGCGTAAAGTACGTAAATCAGATCAATTGTCGAGATAGAGACTTCAATTAACACCCTATTTTTATTTATGAATAATTTTATCCATGTACCTATTAATTTCATGCAAATCCATGTACGAACATTAATTCATAATGTTCAAAAGTTCAAATGTCCTCGCGACTCATATTTATAATGTAAGCGACACGTATCCCTTCTGATACAAAACGTCTTATATAAACAAGTTCAGTGAGCAAATAGAAAGATAAGGTCAATATAAAAATAGAATAACGTCGTGTACTACTCAATTATGTGTACATTAGAATTTCTTATCAAATAAAAAGTAGAACTAATTTTACCAAATAATTTTTTTTATAATATTTTACTAGGATTGGCGGTAACTAACTGGAATTTACACTCGTATATCAGCTTACATTAAACATAATTAGGTCATGAATTGCGTAATTACGTAGTTATTTTTCGAAGACGTCCGCACCGCGCCGGTGTCTAGGGCAATCAAAACAAAATATAATAGAATTTCAGAAACCTTGAAGGAATATATTTAGTATCCCATTCGTTTTGAAATGTGTCGTCTATCGTAACGCGTAATATATAGCCAAGAACATTATAATTCGTTATTTACTATTTCATATCAAACTCATTTTAAATACCAAAACAGCGAAAATATATCAAAATATTGAAAATATAAAATTAATATTATTATTACATTAAATTAGACGATAAATAATTAAATGTTTCCTACCTTAAACTATCATATTTATTGTGTATTGCTTTGTTCTGTATTTGTTGCGGTTAATAATAAAGTTTATTTCTATAAAGATGGTACAATGAATCAGCATCATGTTGCCATTGTTCCTTTATTTGAAGTCGGCGCAGTATATTTTCCTTCTTCATTGATCTACATCATAATCGAGCTTAGTTTAATTAGATATGATATATATGAGATAGATATGATATAAAAAATTATAATACAGTGAACACTCTATATAAGCAGCCTTTAGTAGTTAGTAAAAGAAATAAGTAAAAATATTTTCCAGACTGTAAGTATTTTTATATTCCTTTTTTCCCTATAAGGAACTTTTTCCAATAAGTTTTTTTTTTTATTGAAATTGGTTTAAATGAGTTGCTTATACCTATAGAGTGTTCACTGTATCATTAGGTTGCAAATATCATAAATTTGGAGAGTAATCGTTTCGTTGTATCTTTTTTTTTCTCTGTTCAGTCTCTCAGTTTGTATATATAATTACGGATTGTTAAGTTTCTATACACTGAAATGAGTTTCTGGAATAAATTCAAGTATCAAAAATACAACATAACATTGGTTAGAATTCCTCGGGGTCACTGTCTCGCGCGTTTGTGATCGCATTCATTTCTGTCTGGCATTACCGAATAATGAGTAGGCGTAAATAAAATGCCCATATGATACATATCAGTATTTCTGAATCTTACATTCAAAATTATCACCGTAGACATAGGTGTAATAAATGCAATCTTAATTGCTTGTTCTTAAACGATTCCTATGACTATTCATGATATAATACGCGATATCTTTACTTATCTTAAACCGATTTTGATCATTCTTTTTGCAATCGACAGGTCCTGTATTAGTCCCATATTGTTTTATATTATAAATTGCAAAAGGTTTATAAGGATCGATGGATGGATATTTGTTACTCTTTCACGCAAAAACTATTGAACGCATTTGAATGAATTTTGGAACAGGTTATGTCTTAACGCATAGAATACTTTATATATTAATTCGCCCAGACAGAGCTGTGCGATATAGCTAGTATTTTATATGTAACGAAAAAATATTGAAACATTCAATTAATTTTTCAACAAAACTTTTCAACCTCTTCCGGTAGTATAAATTTCCAAATTCCAATAAAGTCGTACGTTTATATTAAATGTATGTTGATGGCGTTATATATTCTTTTTTTTATCTAATTTGTATATTTGTTCAACAGGGCGGATGGACTCCTCTGATGTGGGCGTCGTATAAAGGTCATGAAGATGTAGTAGCTTTACTTTTAGAGAAAGGAGCTGATGTACATGCACATGGAAATTATAATATCAAGTACGTATTATGTGTATTGTATATACATAACTCATATTATGTATTTAATGAATAAATAAAAAAAAAGAAGTACATATTTAAGATTCTTACAATTGTCTTGTCTATATAGAGATTTCATTATCTATATAGACTCGCGTCTTTCGTTTCTATTTATAATTTTTAGTACTTACAAGCAATACGCCGTAGATCGTTTGAGCGCAATTTGTAAACGGCCATGTATGTTGTTTTTTTTTCTGATTTGATTGGAAATCTTTGTTCTCTGCGTAGACTTTTTTATTAGGAATTAATAGAATGATGAATCAGTGTACATTAAGTCCATAAAATAGACACAAAGCCTTAGTAAAATACACGAATAGTGTATTTACTAGAATGTTTTTTTACAAGAAATATATAGTAACTCATTTCTTAAAACTGGCATATTGATTTATTAAAAGGATCTTTACTTATAACGTTATTACTAAAAAAAAATTTTTGTAAAAATAACTTTATTTTTTTCTACCAAATTTTATATTAGTAAAAAAATTCAAAATAAGAACAATTTGTATCAACAGCATTACATAATAATAGGTGCGTATATATCTTATGCTGTCTTGTGCCGTTGGTACTTTTTTTTAAGAATTTTTTTAGGACTTATTTATGAATACTAACGCCAGTTTTCAAGGAATGCGTTACGTTAATTAATATACCTACTTATAAAATATAAAAAAAAATCGGACTTCAACAAACCAACTAATAAGAAATATGTGATATTAGATACTATAAGGTATATTTTCAAATATACATAACATTACAGTGACATAGATTACATATTTGACAGATGTATTATGTTCTAGGAACTTAGTTAAGTACATCATATTTTATGTGACCACAAAATTTTATTCAAAGTTAACTTTGTCGAACATTATGTTTAAATTATTGCTTGTTATATCAGTGTGACTCTATATCCTATCAAATAAAAAATGTAATCTCATACTCGTAATGTTGAGTATGACAAGTCTTAAATTATATATATTTAACTATGTACATGCGTCAGCATCTTGCTAGGAAATCTTTTGACGCAAATATTTATTATTTAAATATGTATCATTTAATGAAAAAAGTAATGTTTCTTAAGTAAAATGTTATATATATATATATATATATATATATATATATTTACTGAATATATTATAAATTCACTTGAAGTGAGACACAAGTTAGCTTTCAATTAAGTATATTTTAAGTGTGTACAGGGAATAAATTTGAAAATCCTAGCGTCGATATCCTTTGGAGTGCCTTCTAATTATACTCAAACACGTCGAAGGGATTTTTTCTTCCATGTTCCGCTGAGAAGAATAATGCTAGTTTGTTGCCAACGCGATTTAATTGATGCTTTTAAGCGTCTAAAAAAGGAAAATATTTTTAACTAACTGATCTCTAAATACAATAAATTATTTTATACATATTAAGCTTATTTTGTTTAGTATCATAGAGTTGTTATAATATTATAAAAAGAAAGATTAGATTTTTGGTTTTAAAGGATATAGTAAAAGTAATATTGACTGTATTTTATTTTCGAAAAAAAAAATTGTTATTACTACCTATGTATCCGTGCAATGCCGGGACGGGTCACTGGAATAATAATGTATTTGAACAATTATATATTTAACTTATAAAACTGACTTTTAGTATTTTGTTATGGAAACATTTTAAGTACAACTCTCTATTAAAATTCAAATAATACTAATATAATTAGTGGCAATTTGACTATTATTAATTAATTTAATGATTAATTTATGAGACATTTATTTTTATGATTATAACTATATCAAATTAAATTTATTTTAATTTTTAACTTACTTACATGTCTACATTACTATAAGGCAAATAAATAGCTGCCAAACATAAGTTCACAAGGCAATGTTATTGTAATCCTTCCCGCTGTTTAAACGCAAATAATTAAATTGGAATTGTTTAGTTCGCTAGTATGGGCGGCGGGCCGGCGGCACAGCGGCGTGGTGCAGCGGTTGCTGGCGGCGGGCGCACGCGCCAACTCGTGCGACAAGTACGCGACGTCGGCGCTCACGTGGGCGGCGCGCGCCGGCGACGCCGGCTCCTGCGCGGCGCTGCTACGCGCCGGCGCCGACCCCAACACCGCCGGCATGTACTGCTGGACGCCCTTGCTGCAGGCCTCGCATGGTGAGCACCTGCAAAATAGTAATGTCTACAGCAGTGTAATTACCATATCCAGTATATACAAGGTGGAACCGAAGTCATTAGTATACTTTTACGAATGTTCTTTACTAGTGACACTAGACATCGTTCCTAAAGTGATATGAGTTGAAAGTATTGAGATTCCTATAAATATGGCATAAGTTTTTTTGTCATGTTTCAACATATCTTTCTAAGAGAGAAAAATGACATTTTTCACTACATGTACATTTCCATAAAAAACGAAAATAATTTTGATTGCATCTCTGTATACGACATGTAGATATATTTTGAAGTAAAATATTGATCCAATGACCCACCTATTATTTTCTCAATGCGATCTTTTCTTGTAATGTGTTTATTATAAGTTTATTATTATAATCTCTGAGAACAATAAGGAGTATCCATCTGTTTATGATATCATTAATTTATACCTATAAATGTACCTTACGTATATAAAATCTACTTAGACTTTAGAGTCATTCAAAATTTTTAATGATTCAATAGAAAGTAGATTAATGGAAATTGTATAATTATTGTATAAATATTTTTTCACAATGGGATGGTCATAAACTAAACAGACAAAATAAAAAATAGAAATAAAATTTTCGTGTACATACGAGTTGTAACAAATTAAGGTAAAATATTATTAAATAAATAAAAAATTAGTAAGTAAGTGCTTAAGGAAAGGTCAGAAAAGTATAGTTTTTGTTTTACATTATGATTATGATGTTTCGATTCACGTGATATGCATACACACATAAACGAGTATTTGTTAATTATGAATTAACAGATTCTTTGTACCACACATGCCTTTGCACGATAAGGTCACTCTTGTAATTTTGTAATAAATAAAAACAACAGTTTATCGTTTTATAAATCATAAAACAGCGAGGTAAACAAATACACAAAAATATCGTCTATATGCAAAAAATACGAAAAATTGACCATTTAAGTAAATCATTTTTGATCCTTAATTTTGGTTTATTTGTGTTAAATTACATACAACAAATTAGTATTTATCACTTTATAGAAACTATCAACTAGCAATTTCTTGGCAAATCATTTTTACAAATTATAAAAGTTTTATAATCATCTGTATTAGCTTTTCTAATAAACAGTTAAATACTTGTCTGACTGCTCTCTCCCCCTCCGTCTACTTCCCCTGCAATTATAGTCCTAAGCTATTTTATTTTATCGCAGGAAACCACTTCGAGATTGTGCAAATGTTATTGGAACATAAGCCCAATGTAAATGCTTTAGACAAGGATGGTTACACCGCGCTTGCGATCGCATGCAAAGATGGTTACTATGATATTGCGTTGGCGCTCATCAACTCTGGCGCTTACATCAATGTACAGGTATTGAGGGAAAGATTTCACTAATATTTTGCTCAAGTAGAGATGTAAATGTTTTAGGCAATTAGGGTTGCAATTGGTACCTTTTTTTAAACAATATTTTTTAGCACCAAAAAGTGTTTTTTGTTTCTCTTGCTATTTTTTACGTTTTTATAATTGTTTGATTTATTTTTGAACAAAATTCAACAAATAATTGGTGCTGTTCATGTCTATAGGTACCGATTATCACTTACCATTAGGTGGACTGTCAGTTTGTCAGTTTGTTTGTTATTCTAAATATCATAGAAAAAATACTACTGCTATACAGCTTCACAGATTTTTTTGTGGAGAACAAATTATGTTTTTATTATATTTAAAAAAAATAATTTATAGACAAATAAACTGATCGTATTCTGTAATATTTTACGTAAGAAGTATTTTATAAAAATCAAACTGTGGAATAGAGTATTTTAGTATACATTAAGGTTCTTATAAAAATAAATTGCCTGAAATAACACCCAATACTTTATTATGGGTGGCAACCCTGAGTTTTGCCTGAAATTGGAAGTAAAACCAGTTTTTTTGTTTTACTCGCACTTCCACAAAATGAATTTCCTCCTGGAAAGATACTTTTTGAATTACATATAAGTGATTAGTAAACTGAGGGTACTGTTATTAAATGTAAATTAAATTCTCGATACAATGGGAAATTCTATGTGTTTAGTAATTAAATATTAATAATTATTCTGCAGGTTAATTGTGTGGATAAAATTAACACAGATATTATGCAATAAAATATAAATAAACATTTTGAAAATTAACCTATTATTAAACTAAATCTCATTGTAAAGTATTATTTAGTAGATACGTAAGGAAACATTTTTAATTACCTGTACATTTGAAATTAAACTTACGTGTGAAGGTGATAAGAATGAATAAATAATTACTATTCATCAGTTAACCAACGTAAACCTATATTTTTAGGATCACTCAAAAGACACGCCGCTTATTCATGCAGTGAAAGGCGGACACAAAAACATTGTAGAGGCTTTACTGAAGAAACACGTGGACGTAGATCTACCCGGAAAGGAGAAGAAGACGCCTGTATACACCGCCGTGGAGAAAGGCCATGTCGCCATACTGAAACTGTTGCTCGCATCCAATCCTGATCTCGAGCATAGTACTATAGTGAGTGTTTATTATTATATGCTTTATAAATATAATTATATAATTTAGAAATGTTAGGTTTTAGTAATTTTTTCTTGTGTGTTTTTAGTGGTTTATCACCTGCACCATACTATATAGAATAGCACGCAGAATATACAAGTTTGTATTGATTTGGAAAGTTTGTACAAATGTTTTGCATAACTAGGTTTTAATCGGTCGCTAAACCTGTATAATAGTTTTCTTGTTTTCTAACGTAGGTTTAATCAATAATAATCAACTATTGGATAAATGTTATAGATATAAGAACCAGTATATTTATTTATTCTGTATTGCACAATAAAATTGGTACAAATAGCAAACTTAATGTCGTAATAGCATTCTTAACCAGCTAAATGTTGTGTAAAAATAGAGAGATTGAAGTTTAGTGGATTATGATTACTCAGATTGTTTATTATATCCTGTGAAAAGTATTATATGGCAGGAATTATAAATTTTTCAAAAGTTATTATTATTCTAGCATGATGACGGAATATCTAGGGTTTTATATAATTTACCTGGGAGATTATTACAAATTTTTAAAACTTGATAACTTCAGACCACGTAACTAAAACCTTAGTCTTGTATTTGCTTCTAGTACTAATTTACACGTAAATGTCAAGTAGCTCAATTTAAATTATGAAACTATCAGGATTTGAGCGTTCAAAATAAACCTATAGGTTAGACAATACCGTCATTCTTAATTCTACCCTGAACCAGTGCAATGAATGTATTATATTTGTTACGAAAACGTAGCGTAAACATAGCAAAAACTAGTGCTCTCTATAGATTTCACTAAATAAAATTTTTGAAGCTGTTTTCTTGATGTTAATTCACAATAGCAGCATCAAATCTTTATATTATTACGTATATCATATGTATAAATAGGATTGGGTTTTAGTACAATTTGGTTATGCGTTTTTTTTTTCATCAGACCGGTGACACGCCGTTAATGCGCGCGGTGAGGTCGCGCAATGCTGAGATGGTGCAGCTGTTATTAGAACGGAAAGCAAGAGTCAATGTTGCCGACAACCGCGGAGATACCGCATTACACATCGCAATGCGAGCACGCTCCAAGGTAAAAAGAAATTGCATTGTATATACATATTTCTTTTAACTAGAAAGTTTATTAGAAATGTGATTAAAGAAAGATTTTGTGTATTTATTGCCATCATTCCATTACGGAATATTTTTGGAGCATACTTGTGTGAAAACATTACCACGCGTGTTTGGTGTATACGAGTTCCAGTTTATAGTGTTATATACAATTCTTTTTATATTTCATAATTTCAATTGCATTATTTTATTATATTAAATAAAATTTTTAATTCTACACTTTTCCTGGTACCTATATTTTAAACATTATTATTGGGTCTATTCGTTCTTGTTTTTGTCATTATAAGCTCTTAAATAGCAAATCTTCCTCCTTCAAATAATTATGTTTATTTTATTTCAGCAAATAGTAGAAATTTTACTTAGGAATCCAAAACATAGCCAGTTGCTTTATAAGCCGAATAAATTGAATGAAACGCCGTACAACATAGATATGAGCTACAACAAGACGATACTGGGCCAAATATTCGGCGCTCGCAAGTTGAACACGAATGAAGACAATGAGAACTTGCTGGGTTATGAGTTGTATAGCGCGGCGCTAGCGGACATGTTGTCGGAGCCGAGCTTGTCTGTTCCTATCACAGTGGGCCTCTACGCTAGATGGGGCTCGGGAAAATCGTTTTTGCTCAATAAACTTAAGGGTGAGCCTTGTATTAATATAACATTATCGAGTGTTCATATTAAATTCAAAATCAAAACAAACACAAGAATTAACTACTATTTTAAAGATATGGCAACAATTTTCAACATTTCTGATTGATAATATAAAAAGAGATTTTTTGCCGCCAAATTTTCAGTGATAGCTTAATAAGAATCTGACTTTTATATCTCTGTTATTAAGAAATATTAAATATATTAAATTGACCACATACTGATAATTGTGAGTTTGATCCTGTTACAATATCAATATTTGTAATACCCATTACAGTATGTTTAGTACCCGTATTGCAAGATCTATTTAGTTTGTTACTAGATGATGTTATGCTATCATGTCCAGGGTTAATTAATTAATTTTACTGTTGTGAACCAAAGCATTTTAATTTATATTGGGAGTTGAAACGTTCAATCTTTAGTTAGAGTATAAGAATCTAAAATTATAATATTTATAATTAGCTGTTTTACCGCAGCTTTGCCCACGTAAGTACTAACTCGCGCAATACTATTATGAAGTGTCCTGTGTTAAATTAGCATATAATCTACCCGTACATTACATTTCATTCAGCTATGTTCAGCCATTTAAGTGTAAAATAATAACAAACATTCATACGTAACTTTTGCGTTTATAATAATAGTAAGATAAAAATAAATAGAAATAAACAAATAAATTAATAATTGTGGGTTTAAAGTCAACAAATATAAGGTTAATATAATACTCCAAAAATGATGTTAAAAAAATCTTTTTGTTGATGCATTTATATTTATAAGAAGGATGATAAAATACTATGAAGATGCAGGAATAATATATAAAACATCTGAAAGGAATCCAAAGGAACTCGGCAGTTACTCTTTATAAATTGACTTAGATACAAATTATGATATGACAATGATATAGATTGAGAAATTTGATGGTTGGCACCCGCAGAGGAGATGAAGAACTTCGCCCGCCAGTGGACGGAGAGCGGCTGGTCGTGGTCGTGGGCGGTGTGGTGGGGCGCGTGGCACGTGGCGCTGGGCGCGGCGGCGCTGGCCGCGCTGGCCGGCGCGCCGCCCGCCGCCGTGCTCGCCGTGCTCTTCGCGCTCTTCCTCGCCATATACCTCGCGCTCTACCTGCTCTGGTATCTGGGGAACAAGTCAGTATATTTTTACTTCATCATCATCATAATCAGCCATAAATTGCCCACTTATGGCGATTTTACCAGTTATTGCCACACGTGTTTGGCACAGTTTGGCAACCGCAGTTAGACTTTTGTAGATATTTTAAGAGAGAAGCTGTTGCTCGTTCTTAGACCATTAAGTTCTCTTAGCTGTCTCTTACGACACCCACTGGAAAAAAATGGGTAGCATATTCTATGCTGGGATTATACCTGTATGTAACTTTTTTCAAACATAATTATGAAATATTTTGGGGTAAGTAGGTATTATGACAACAAATAATATAATATGATTACGCTTCAATCTGCACTGCCTTTATTGGAACACAAAACAACTCAGTGCACGTATTGCGAATATATACCACCTTTAAGAATAATAATTAATGTACCATTACAAATTGTGTAATTTTTGAATAAATTTATATTACTATGGTAACAAGAGTTTGTAGGCCATTTGTATTATATGGATGACGATTTTTCCAGGTACGAATGGTGGTGGGCGGGCGGAGTGTTATCTGCCTTGGGACGAAGATTCAATTCCCTACTGCTAGTGCTACAAGTAGTGTTCTGCCATCCTCCTGGTCCAAACGATCCAAGGGCCTTACCCGCCACGCCTATCAGGTATAATATTATTCCTGTATGACTGTGTATTAACGAAATATTAAATGTAAAATATCTACAATATTATATTTTAACATACTAGGCCGAGAACCGTTTTGGTATCGCACGTCATTTATTTATTTATTTTAAGCATATATAATAAGTTTAAAAGAAATAGGCTTTCGAATTTATTTATGTTATATCTAATACATTGCACAATATAAAATATATTTTACTCAATTAAATCAACAATAACGGGATTATACGTGATTCACAAAATGGCAATGATACTTCGCTATGCATAACATTATAATTATACGCAATTTATTTTATGCCAGAAAAAGAAATAAAGAAATGTTCGAATAAGTTTTAGATTTGTTTTTTGTATGTATAGTGTAGATTGGTGGACCCGGGTACTCATAATTCAAAAACTCCTTATTGTTTAAGGTTCCACTTCACGGAGGGCATGAAGAGCGGCGGTGGGCAGGAGGGTGAGGCGATGGTGGTACAGATGTTAGCAAGCCTGGGCGAAGCACTGGAATGCCAGTACGGCCGCGTCTGTACGCGCCTCACCAGGGCTTTCCGGCCCAAGCCCGTCTCCTCTACCTCCGGTTGGAAGTCAGTATATTTTTTTATTTTCCTTAAAAACGAAATTGAGAAATTCTTTCGTGTAATGTTTAATTCCTTTGATAAAAAAATATGAAATATGTTAACACATACCATATTGCAGTTGTTTCCCAAAGTAGATCAGCCAGACAGTAAACTAGTCATTCACACATGGTTAAATTTTTTTTATGTAGTGACCTTCTTTCAAATATTTTTAATTTAATTTCTATATAGTTTCTCTAAGAAACTATAGCATGGGGTTCTTTTAAAAAGGGATAAAGAGGTTTCTTCACGATCGGCGTCCCTGGTATTGCAAGCGTTTACATGCTACGGTAACCGCTTTCCATACATTTATTTGACACTTCAGTGTTATCAAAAAAATGTGTATATATGTACCTACATGTGTAAAACTTGGTAGAATGCTCTGCACATCGATTTAATTAACACTTTAATTAAATCGATAAGAATAATTCACATTGTATGTTAGGTGGAAACATAGTCAAATAACAAATTTACATACTTGAAAATTTTACACATAGGCTTTTCCTGAAACTTATAATTATTTTGAAAATTACAATAGGAGCAAACAAAACCATGTAAATATATACGCTCTAGCTGGGTGGATAATTATTACATTGAATCAATTTGCAGATGGCGCCGTATGTGCTGTGTCCCGCACATAATAACGTTCGAGTTGTGCTTCACTTGCGTGCTGATGGGACTGTGCGTGCTCGTTATGTACCTCACTGACAAGGAAGTGGACCAACAGTAAGATACTTTGAATATAACTGATAATACATAACAAATTAGAATAGATATATTTAGATAAAATTATAGGCGACGGTTACCACTTTCCATCAGATGGGATGAAACAAGCGGACGCTTGTTTGCCATTCTAAGTTGCATAATAAAAAAATATTCATTTCCCAAATTTGAAAATATGTATCCAATTCAGAATAGTAAAATAATATTTAATTAAATAAATTTGCAGCCCAATTTATGTAAAATGGTAACCGTAAATTATAGATACGAATAATATTAGTTATATATTATTATTGTGATAACTGATATTTCTCTGCCATAGCCATTTCTAAGGGTAAGAATGTTGAATCTATGTGGCTATTTTCCCAAACACAGACATTTAAACTAAATTGTTTAGTGACGTGATATCTATAGGTATTTTCTTCTGGTAATGGTATAAATAACTGTCATCATGACATATTGATTACGGGATAGACAGAGAAAAATAAGTGTCTGTATGGGGTCTATTTCTACTTTATGATATTATTTATTTAATTATATATAATGTAATATGAATGTTTATATAGAAATATGAAAGTTTATAATGATGTTTGAATGTTTATTGCTCAATCTTGCTTAAACTACTGAAGGGATTAAAAATAGTACATAGAGATATCATATGCTAATTTGACACGCAAGTCGTATCCGAATGTACGCGGAGTCCCGGACTAGGCCGCGGGGTACAGCTAGTGCTAGTTATAAGAATGATAGCAAAACGACGACTCAGTGAGGGCGGGTCGTCGTCGATCAGGCGGCGTGAAATTCAACAGGGGCTGATGGTGGGCGCGGCGGCGGTGGGCGGCGCGGCAGTGCTGGCCAACCTGTACACGTGGGGCCGCGTGCTGGCGGCGCTGCTGCGCGGCCCGCGGGCGCGCCTGGCGGCGGCGGCGCGTGCGCACCACGCTGCGGCCGCGCCCGCCGCCGCGCTCCGACCCGAGGTGCAGGCGCTCACGCATTTGGTACATTTACTTGTATTTTTACCCCGCATCTTGAATTTTTTTTCTTTTTATTATTTTCACAAGTTAATTTTATATATGGCAAATATAGAAGAGTTTATAATAATAATTTCTTTATCCATATTTGGGTTACATATATAGTGTTACATTAAGGATAGGTACATGTTAAATTGTTACTATTTCTTATATGTTTACTGTTATCCTTACTAGGTCATTTATTGACCTGTATAAAGGGCATCCAGTTCATTTCATTTTTTGTTACAATATTTCTAAACAATGATGCATTTTTCGGTATACAGATGTAATGTAATCGAAATATTTAGCAATATTTTATGGAAATTTTATACTAGTGGAACTGAATAATTTTACAAAAGATGAACAGCATGATAAACATGGCAATGACAAAACAGAGCTTGTGCAACTGTCGACAACTCTATATATCATAAAATCCTAATAAATGATTTATTCATATTTTAGTGATTCTATAAATGGACCTGCTATTTAAAAAAGTTCACTGCAAAATTATTGGTTTATTTATTATAAAATTCATATAATTGTAATAGTTGGTATAATTTATTATATATCGATATTATATAGATTCTGTAGTCATTTAATTTATCTCAATGAATAACTGACTGACACATATTCATACCGATCGGATGATTAAACCTGAACTTTATCATAAAATCTACATAATGTAAAAATAGGAATTTCATGTACAACTGTCCTTTTTTATTTAGTATTTCTAAACAATTTGTAGGTGACATGTCTGGACGCGTTCACCGGACAACAGACACGCTTAGTTGTCGTCGTGGACGCATTGGATAGCTGCGAACAAGAGAAGGTCCTCGCACTATTAAATGCTGTCCACGCGCTATGCTCAGATCCCAAGAGTCCATTCATATTACTTCTGGCGATAGACCCACATATTATAAGCAAGGTAAGGAAATTAAATTATTTCTACATCAAATAGATAATACTCAGATATAAAATAAAGTTATCTGCTTAATTTTTACCACTGAACTGTTTTGTTCAGTAAAAGTTGCATTCTCATATTTATAAATTAACCTGCTATATTATATAGAGTATTTTTCCTCTAAAAATGTGGTTTAATAAGTATTTAACAGTAAATAAATCATGTTGATTATGGCTACAGATTACTAATAAATTAATACCTACCGATTATTAATCGGGTTCACGTTTAAATATTTTATGCCTACTCCACATAAAATACGTTGATAATTTTTTTTTCTATCGACTAAGTTAGGTCTAAATAAACCTTATTTATAGTAGGCTTATACAAAATATGTTTTAATACATCATTATTTTGAAATCGTGTATATTTAAAATAATAATTGATAATAAATTTCTAAAGCTCTGTTGTTAAAAACAAATGGTATTCGCGATTGTCTGAGTGTCAAATTGTATGTATTGTGACTATATAGTATTATTTAGTTACCACATAATCTTTACAATTCGCATTAGATTAAGAATGTATATGCAATTATACAATTACAGATGGGCAAAGCACCGGGTTTAAACCCGGTGCTTTGGTAAAAACCCAATAAACACCCATAAACTCCCATAATCACCCAAAAAAATAGGTTTTTACGTATTTTTTTGAAAATATGTAAGTAATACCAATAAATTATTTTTATAAATTGTATTGATCAATTCTACAATATTAAATAAAACGTTAACTAATAATATTTCAGGAAATTTTAAAAATCTATATATAATAAAATGAAAGTAATTAATTTTCAGTGTTTTCATGTTGCAGTTGATCAACATGTTGGCCTTTTGCTTCCCGTAGATACTTTAAAATTTCTTCATAACACCTCGTTCGCACACATGGCCGTATATATTTAAATTCTTGAGCCACTAACAGTCCGAAATACTCATTTCTTTTATCCTCTTCTCCATAAATTAAGCATTTAGAACAGTTTGTTTCTTCTTTCAGTAAATTTTCTTTTATTTTATCCTCGTTTTTTTTCTTTGTTGCGACGACGCTGGGTAAATCATCTGGACACTGGGTCTCACTATTGCCAAATATATTTGGAGATCGGCTTCGGCTACGGCTTGGCAGACATTTTTTTCTTTCTACAATTTTAAATTAAATTTATTAGAATAAATGCTTCGAACACACGCGATCTAAGTACCTTTTGTGTTTATTATACCTTACCTACCTAGGTATAAAAAGAGTACTTACGTAGATTTTCTTTTATTAACTGTTTTATACGAAGATCTTGATCTCTCAAATTAGCATCCATTTTACTTCCAGTGATTATCAACTAAATTAATAATCCACAAAGTATTAAATAACGTTTTTATGAAATATTTAGCACAAAAACAATACCCTTTAAATATCGATCGTCAGTAACTGTGGCTGACTTACCTATATTCTAGCAAGCAGGACTGCCAGATGTGAAGGGGAAATCCCCAATAAATTGTTGCATGTGACTGATGATGTGAGCATGTTCGTTTCATAATAAAAATGTTGCCAGGTAACCAAAAAGTCGTATGTTTTTGTGCGAATTACGATCATAATCTTTACGATCGTACATTAAAAAATAGACAAATAATAGTATGAGTACGATTTAAATCGTATATCTGTCAACCCTGCTAGCAAGACAGCGACAAAATCACGTTGCATAACAATGTAGCCCAAGCTTATATCTTATGAAATATACGGAAGAGATACGGACTTAGAAAAAACAGAAATGTTGTTCTTTGTGGAAGTCATTGATGAAATTCTATGTATTTTAGCCCGCAAACTTTCTTCAAACAAAAACAGCGCCATCTAGTATCGAGTTCTGTAATTATCTCTTTGTTTATGGATTTGAAGTAAGACCGCCACGCATGCAATACATTATGACTGGGGATTCCCCTATTCGTCGACGCTGAATATGAGGCGACGACAATCACTGTCAAACGTGTTCACTATTACTCTGACTCTGGTAACGTGACTTCCTGGTAACGTGTTAGGTAGGAAAAGCAGTAAAAAAGTGCATATTAAGGGAGCAGATTTGAAATAATATTTATACTTAACAAGAAATAATTAAAGGTAAGTGGATTTTTGAATGATACAATTATATCATGATCACTTAACAATTTTAACTTAAAATTAGATGTATTATTACAAGCTTTTATTTAGCTTGCGTTATGTAAATAAAAGTATGTAGGTATGTTCGTATGTTGATGCAATTATCCTCAATCCTCAACCGACTGGGATAAAATTTTCCATACACGTTTATTTTGGATGATAGTGCATAGTTAGCCGAGAGTCGTCATTGGATAATAATGGTGGATAGCCTAAGATGTGTACTAGATATTTATTTTTAACATAATATGCGTAAGTACCTAATCGAATTAAAGAAGTTGCTGAGAAAAATACAGAACAATACGATAATAAACTAGCGTCTGCGTTTAATCCTCCGAGGAGATGTAATTTTACAAAGGTTTTTTGTATTTATTTTATTATTTTTTTAATAAATTTATTGTAAATAACAAGAAATAATCATTGTAAAAAAATAGGCACTCTATTGTTGAATTTTCGTCAGACCAACTAATCATCGTTCATTTTTTTAGGTTCAATGGGGAGACCTAAAGATTTACGCATATGGGAGCACTACCGTACTTTACCAAACAAGTCTGTTTCTTGCAAGCTTTGTAATAAGGTCTACAAATTCAGTAATGCTGCCAAAATGCTTCAACATCTTATCACTTGTCCAAAATCTCCAGAAACATTAAAAGACTCTATGAAACTTATAAAAGATAGCTCGTCCAAAACCAAAATGTCTGGACTGTCAGAGATAGAGACAAATGATTCTTTTATAAGCCCCTCGTCGTCTGCTAACACTACAATAAATGCTGAGTTTCAAGACACCGATGATCATATAAAAACAGAATTAGCGAGAGCTATATTTGTAACAGGGACGCCATTATCGATGGTGCAACATCCTTTATGGATACAATTTTTCGAAAAATTGCAACCAAAATTTAAAATACCTTCACGTAAAGCTTTAGCGACAAAATACTTAGATAAAATATATAGAGAAATGCGTTTTGAGTTAAATGAGGAACTAAATGCTTGTAGTTACTTACACCTTCAGTGCGATGGCTGGTCTAATTTAAGAAATGAAGGAATAATAAACTTTCTTATATCAAAACCTCAACCTGCATACGTTAAAAGTTTGAATACAGAAAGTAATCCTCACACTAGTGAATACCTTAGCCAAGAAGTTGAAAAAGTAATGAAAGTGTATGGAGCAAATAAGTTTCTTGTACTTATTGGCGATAACGCTAGAAATATACAAAAGGCATTCGAATTAACAAAACTCAAATATCCACATGTTGTTCTTCTCGGTTGCTGTGCACATATCCTTAACTTGTTGTGCCAAGATATTGTAAAGATACAAGAAGTAACTGTGTTTATTATGCAAGCCATAAATATAATAAAAACTGTTAAAAGGAGTCAACGATTAAGTTCCTTGTTGATAAAATCAAGGCAGGGTGAAGATTCTACACAAACACTAAAATTGCCTTGTGCTACAAGATGGGGAAGTCATGTTACTTCGTTAAAAAGTTTGAAAGCAAATAAGATAGCTTTGCAAATATTAACAGTTAGAGAAGATGTGGTAATTTCAAGAGATATTAAAGATTTAATTCTAAGTGATGATTTCTGGACGAAGACAGGGGAATGTATAAGTATTTTGGAACCAGTCACTGAAAGCATATTTTACTTAGAGAGCGACCAGAATCGTTTGCATCGCACATACATTACATTTAGAGATGTACAAGCTAAGATACGTTTTGCATTAAATGAGATTTCGACATTGAGCGAAGAAAGCAAACAGCAGATTCTAACATCAGTATCTTCAAGATGCAATATGGCAATGAGGCCAATACATTTTGCAGCATATATTCTAGACCCCAGGACTCTAGGAGTCGAACTTACTCAAGAGGAAGAACTTAAGGGTATGGAGTTTATCTACAATTTAAGCCAACACTTAAGTTTGTCAAATGTAATGGCAGATTTGGCGTGTTATAAAGCTAAAGAAAACTTTTGGGCCAGAGGATTTGTATGGAGCTCATTAGATAGCATTGAGCCCCTAATATGGTGGAAAGGTATTTGTGGTTCCACTGAGTTAAGCAAAGTAGCGATTCGTATTCTATCAGCTCCCTGTACTTCGGCAGCCACTGAGCGTTCCTTTAGTATCCAAGGCTACATACATAATAACAAAAGAAATCGACTTACAACTGAAAGAACTGAAAAAATTTCATTCATTTGTTATAACTGGAATCTTAAACATAAAGCTGAATGCGAGGACATTCAGTTTAATGAAGAAAATACCTTAGAAGCTTTCATTGAGCAAGTAAATGAACATAACAGTTTAGACGAAATAGAGCCTATCGAACCTATACAATTCATCGCTTGTAATAACTCTGAATCTGACAGTGATTGACTGTAGTTTTACATTTTACTTTCATCTCTTTCTTAATAAACTCAAAATCAAATTAAAAGTTTTTTATTCTGTAGGCTGCATAATAATACTGTCTATGTCCAGTATAGTGGACGTCTTGCGGCTGAGATGACGATGATGAAGTACAAAATCATAAACACCCAAAAATTTGGGTGTTTATGGGGTTTAAACCCAATAAACCCAAAACACCCGGTTTTTACCCACCAGACTTTAAACCCACCCAGGTGGATTGCCCATCTCTATATACAATCGCCTGACTTGAATACTTTTAATTGTTAGTTCTAACATATTTTGCGTAATGTGCAGGTTGCATGGATGGAGGTTAGTTATATTTTCATTCGATAATGAAATGGAATTTGCCAGTTTTAAGCCCAGAGTGTTTTATGGATTTTTTGTTTTATACTCTTATCTTAGATTATATAGATAGATAGAGTGTTTTCACACAAATGCGTCACTAAAAACAGGTCAACTTTTTATCCATGTGTGCGTGAATTGGGTTACCATAATAATACATTTATTACTTACTATATGGAAAAATTGTATTGTAAGGTTTAATTAAATAATATATTTCAATACACAAAATAAACACTGCATAATGATTCGTAAAGATATTTATCTTTATTGATTACTTTGATCCGTTAAGGATATAAAATACATTTTTGGTTTTAAATAATTGAAAACAGTCATTATTTTAATTAGTACATCTATATTAATTTAAAAGCAAAACATACATATGTATATTTATATTTTATTGAAAAAAAGTCCCAATTCAATATAAAAAAAATCTCATCTGAGAAGTATTTTAATCCAATTAATTAATTTTAATACTAAAAAAGCATGTTTTGTTTGTAATTTAAAAAAAAAATCTGTAAATATTTAGTCAGCCAAACGTCAAATTAGCTGATTAAATTTTGACCTGTTTTTGTACACTCGATGCTCTAGCTATAAAATCTAAGACTCGTATATACATATTTATATTTATAAAACCTTGTACAATACATATATACACCTATGTTTATTTGTTTTTTTTTATTATGATAATTATCATTATTAGATCACATATATATATATATTATATATATATATATATATATATATATATATATATATATATATATATATATATATATAGTTGAAATAACTTAACGACTGCAATTTATACTTATATATTAATAAATATAGTTATTATCTTAGATTTATTATCTATATGAATTCTAAAAGTGATAATTTTATTACACATTTCTTTTCAAAAATATATTTTATATATGTTAATAAAGTATATTTTCCTGGTATGCACTCATAGCCAATTATGACAATCTTTTAATATCACATAAAAAGAAATTAAATACCTTTTTATTTATATTTATTATATGTAATGTAATATAATGTTAGTGTGTTATTTAAATGAGCAAGTTCTTTAGACTGTGATATTACTGTACGTATTGTTCGTCTCAAATGTGTTCTATTAGTGACAATTACAGATAACTATTGTATGTATTATATTGCCAAATGTTCAAATGTATCTGCGTTTTGTTACTTGTATAGGTATAGTGAATATGAAAAGATGATTAGGCAATATTCATTGTGAGCTTCATTGAAAGAATAATAATTATATGTTATTATTTGTTGATTATATATGGTTGTGTTCACTTCCCGCATGACTGTCTGTTGTCTAGTACAGTGTCTATTGACTGGACAGTTCTATGTCTTTGTTAAAATATTATTAAGGTTAGTCGCGTCATTGCATGATGGATTGATATGTAAATAGGTATTTACATGGTACACACTTCAAGTCGATAGGATTTTCTTTATTATTATTGAATTATAATTAATTAAAATTGTTAAATAATTATTTAATTATTATATCAAGGATTTATATAATTAAATTTTATTATTGACTACATAAAAATTTCACTAATTTATATGTTCATTTTATTTTAAAACAATGGACCAATAGATTGAACCTACAAAAAACATAAGGAGTTATACTAACAAAAATATAACATAAATTTCTAATCCAGCACCGTAATGGTCCTATAGAATATAGGATATGAATGAAAAGATCGGATACACCCCAGTCGAAGCGTATCTAAGTCTACAAGACGCACACGGTTACCGGCAATGTTAGCAACCGACAACATCTGTTGGCAAAAAACATTAGATTCTGAGCGTAAACACCGACATTTACAGTACAGTAGGACCATGTTCATTCTAACAAGAATTTAAATATTATTAAGTGTCATTGAAATGCACGCGTAGTGGTCTGCATTCCATGGAATACGCGCGTAGTGAACTTCGTTCCGCGGAATGTGTACGCAGTCGACCGTCTAACCAATTTTCTTTACCACGTTCTAAAATCCATTTTGACACGCGCCGGTTCGTGCCTTGATGTAAATAGTGTATTAAACAACACTTTACTTGTATATTTGTGTTTGATTATTTGAAAATTAAAATAATAGTGTGTGAGTAGTGCGATTCCTTTATATCACAATTTGTGTCACTCAGGCAGTAGAGATAAACAGCCGTCGTGCGTTGTCTGAGAGCAACATTGGCGGGTGGGACTACCTGCGGAACATGGTGCAGCTCCCGTTCTACCTGCAGAACTCAGCGTTGCGCCGTGTCAAGATCGCGCAGCAGGCGGCCACGCGGCGTATGCAGGCCGTCACCGCTGATGACTTCTCTACTTCGCTACAGAGATCTGTAAGTTGAATTATCATACTACAGAAACCCCCCTATAACACGTTAGATTCGTTCCGCATCGTAAGAGTATTCTCTTATAACGCGTTTGTACGACTCCGTATAACGTATTATGTACAAATTATTTACGTTTGACTTTTCTCGTTAAAAGGCGTTTAAATCAAATATTAAGAAAAAACTTTGTTATGAATGAAATATATGTTTTATTGAAATCAAACTAAGAATATTTGAAATAAAAAAACATGCATATGCAACTAAAAAAACTAGATAATTGCAAATAAATTAACAGTTTTATTACATGTTTATTCGCTGTCGGAACTGTCTGAAATAATGTTCCACCGACATATTTTTTTAATAGAATGTTCAATCCCCGCGTTTTATGGGAGAACCCGTGTTACATATATGACTGATTGATGATATACGTATGATTGAAATCGCGTAATATGAAAACGCGTTATAAGAGTACCGTATTATAGATGGGATTACTGTATTCTATAATTGGGATTAACACTTTATTATCCCCCACTGCATCTGTTGTAGACGGCGTAGTATACCACCTTGTTGTAATTCCCTGAATTTACTGAGTACAGAGGAATAACACTTGAGTCCTCAGGAATGGCAACGCATGGGGGGTATCATGGGCGAAACAGTATACTATGTTATGTCCATGGTACTGCTCATGTCTATAGGCGACGGTTACCACTTTCCATCAGGTGGGCCATCAGCTTGTTTGTCATTCTAAGTTCTATAAAAAAAAACCCTAATAAGACTAGATTAGATTTAGTTTAGATTCTGTATAAGAAAACGGAATGGTAATTTTTACACAGTATGTACTAATGTGAGACATCAGTAACATTAGGACTGGTATTTCTTTGTATCAAGAGGAAAGGCGTTGTTAGTAATGGAAATTAGTTTCTCTATTGCAAGCAATTCTGTATTAGGTATCAGGTATGTGGATGCGTTGAAACAGTCGTTTATTGTAAACATTTTATAGTAAGTTTATTGTGGACACGATGTTTAGCAGATATCGGAAGATCGGAGCCATCAACAATATTGATGTTCTGTTCTGTATATCGTAATAGACAACATTACTGTTTTATCCAAGAAGGTATATTCATGTTATTTCCATTGGAAACCGTTTTGGTAAATTCGTAGTGAATTCGCCACAATGGATAAATTAACTTGATTTAATCCTTACCTATAATCTCATACTAGCACTGGCATATAAAATATAAAGACAGCGCAGACGGCGTTACTATTCTATTATCACTCGTAAAAAAGTGTCCGTTAGTAACAATGCGTCCGCGCAGGTGTCCGCCCGGCGGCTGTCATCGACGTCGGAGGTGATGTCGAGCCAGGAGCGCATCAAGGGCCCGGGTCCGAAGGAAACGGCGGCGGCGGCGCGCGCGCGGCGCCTGCGACCGTCCGAGTCGCTGGCGTCGTCCGTGGCGTCGGGGCTGCACCGTGCGGCGCCGCCCGGCGCCGCCGACCTGGGCCGCGTGCTGCTCACCGACGACTACTTCAGCGACGTCAACCCGCGCAGCATGCGCCGTCTCATGAACGTGCTCTACATCACAGGTCCGTCCGCCCGACGTCACGCTCTCGTACACGCATTCTAAATGTTTACTGCTGTAGCTCGGCTTTTAACGACTTAAATGGTATATGTAGTTCTTTAACGATTTATCTCGCCGAGAAAGGAATGTTTGTAATGGGAATTCAATAGTCCCGTTGCTAGCAAGATGCCCTATCAAGTCGACCTCCATGCGGTTACCTCTGGAAACCATCTTTGTTCATTTGTGTGGAATTCATTACGATAAGTTAACTGACCTGCTTTCATCCTATCATTCATTACTTATGTCCTGCTAATGTATACCGATAGCGCTGGCGAAGTCATCCATACAAATATTTTACTTTCTGATAATCATAAATCCAATAATATGCCTTTTTGTGTTGATTCGGGCTTTTGTCTATGTGTTTACACTAATAAAAAGTAAGCATGTTTGTCAATCTGTCAAATACAAGCTTTGCTTAGTTTGAAACTAAAAAGCGCTAAGTAATACTTCCAGTAGTATTTATCATTATTAATAATGCCAAGTTGAACAATAAAACAAATGAGATCGTAAATAGAACACTGGATCTAATCCAACCTATCAGAAGGTTTGGTTCAGATTTTGTATTTTTTTTTATGCCACAAAGGTAACCTATGGAGAACCTGCAACACTAGGGTTGTCACATGCGCGTTGCTGTCCCTTTATTTATTTTATCATTAATTTATTTAGGCACGGACTATTTTTATTTAATTTTTTTTTTAATTTGTTGTACATTACAGGTCGTCTTCTCAAAGCGTTCCAAATAGAATTCAATTGGTACCAATTAGCATCTTGGGTGAACCTGACCGAGCAGTGGCCTTTTCGTACGTCGTGGATTATCTACCATCATGAAACCTACGAGGAGCATATCGACGATTCAACTTCACTCAAACATATATATGAAAAGTATGCTATGTTTACGTATTTTACTAATTAAATCTTGTTGTCATGACAAAGTTTGAAAGTAGCGCCAATATCCGAATAGAAGTAGCCGTTTATTTTTCTAAAAACATGTAATGCGCAAGGATAAAGTAAATTTTTTAGAAAAGTATTACTATTGTAAATGTGAATGGCTATAAATAAGATTTATTATTAATGAGAAATATGCTTTCTTAGGCAAAAAAAAAAATAAAACTGTAACACTGTAAGGATTAAGGAAATCATAAAAATAATGAAACCTAAATAAAATAGTAATGTTATTTTTCTATTGTAATTGTTATCAGATCTGCTATCAAACGGCACTTCGATTAACCCAATTCGAATCGATTTATAAAAATTTGTGTACAAAATTGGCACACCAAAGAACAGAATTGTATTCATTAATATTATAATAAATAAATTTAATTGATAGGAATAGTTCGAAAATTATTATATTTGCCATAATAAGAAACATATTAGTTGTAGAAATAAAATCCAATATATTTGTCACCACAGAGTAAAGCCTATGATAAGTGCGCTGCGGGAAGCAAGCACGTTGATGGAGTTAGACCGAGATGAACGCAAACTAGAAGTATTCCTCAGCTTCCACCGCACTACGCTCACAGCTGCTGACCTCAAAATATTCCTGCCATTCACCATCAATTTGGATCCGTACATCAAGAAGGTTATCAAAGGTTTGTTTTACAATACTCTGTTATTATATTTTTAAAAGAACTATAAATTACTGGTATATGAAATTTACAGTTTATTAAAGCTTTCATTTCATTTAGATGATCAAGTGACTATTTAAAGATGGTTGACAAATATATTTGAATAAAGATTATTTTGATTCTTTTCTTTTAAAAATTTACAGCAACATAAATTTGTTCGAAAATAATAATTAAAAAAAAAAAATGGTTTTGATATAATATAATTGGTGTATCGCTAAAAGATATAAAAGCAAATGGATTTTAATGCAATTTAATTTTTACTAAACACTATCTAGGTAATATTTTTACAAAATAATTGCTAATCTCTTCTAATAATGATATTTTTACCAATGTATTTTGTTAACACATAACAAACGAAGAAATAACTAGTTTGGAACAAAATGGAATCACTATTCTTGATCCTTTTAAAAATTATTTTTGTTCATATTAAAGACGTAATAAGTATATTAGTTATAATATTTGTTTACAGAAGAACAATTACAATCTGGACTAGAAGAAGACTTGGGAGCGGGAGGTGCCGCGGGAGCCGTCCAGTGGGGGACTCCACAGCATATCCGCCCCTCCCATCCTCATTCAAAACTTTTCCATAGGAAAAATGTAAGTTTATATATAATTATAATATTGTATTACTGTTTACTACTGTAACTGTTTGAAGGAGTGTCTATCTATAATGTTGTTGAATTTTTGAAATAGGGAATGACATAGACTACATTTTGTCCAAGTCAATCAAGCATCAATTATAATTGTATTATATACAATGTAAATTTAATACATCAAATACATTGATTTACGCGAGCATAGCTGCAAGAAACAGTCAGTCATAAGTAGTAAATAATAGCAGATCATCTTACAAACAGATGTATAAATCTTTGTGTAATCTCTACATATGTTTAATTTGTTTTGAAAGAAAGAACGAAAGATAAGAAAGAAGAAATAATTTATTTAGTGACAAAATACGTTGACATTATAGCCACTTATCAGTAAGAACAAAAATTATAATCAATAAAAAGTTTTAATAAAATTTAATGAAAATTTAAACAAGTATTTGACCTGACCATAAGACATCTACCGATGTTTCATAGTAGTACAAATAAAACATCAATGAACTTATTGATGTTTCGATTTGTTACTAATTTTTTTTTATACCTCTGTGGTGGCAAACAAGCATACGGCCCACCTGATGGTAAGTGGTTACCGTAGCCTAATTAATTTGTTTTAAAGAGTGTCTGTCTGTAATATTTTCACCAACTTGGTTATGCAAATAGATTATATATCATAAATGTGTGACAGCGCACATCGCCGCCGGGCGCTAGCGGGCCGCTGCCGGCGCAACCGCTGTGGGTGGGCTGGACCAACACCGGCGCCGGTTTCACGCCGCAGCCCCTGCACCAGCTGCCGCCACTGCAGCCGCTGCAGCCGCTGCAGCCGCTGCCGACGCAGTACCCACCGCCGCCGGCCCCGCAACCAGCGTTAGCGCAGAACCCTTATCTCATGCTCAGAACCGCTTTTCCTGGATTGGTGCGTTTGTTATATTTATTTTCGAACACGCATTTAAATCTTTAATTTTAGTTTTCAATGCATGTTCAAATGTTTAGTTTTTTAGTTCTAGTTGCCTTGTAAGGTAAATCAAATTTGAGTGTAAAGAAATTTATAAATGACCAAATTTATTTACAGATTACATTATTGCGATTCCTGTAGATAGAGTATATTGAAGAAAGCCGTATTGAAAATAAACATTGTCGTTAATTATCTTTATCATTGTACATTCATAGTAGTAATTAGTATGAATATTATTAAAAATGCAATTGATAATTTGGTTTCTTGAAAGAACATTTATATTGAAATATGGTACTTATGGCATTTCTAAAAATCAAGTAACAAAAGTAGAAATGCAAAATTTTTCTTCATTTTTATCGACACGGCAATGTTATATATAAAAAAGGACACTTGCACAGGCGTCACTTCGCCCGTTTATATGTTACATCAATGAATAAATGTAAACTGGTGGTCTACTTATCCAGGGTGACGTGTCGAACTTGCGTCTCTCTACGATGAGCGTGGAGCGGGTATGTAGCGTGGCCCGCGAAGCGCTTGGCGGAAGCGGCGAGTTGGCCGCCGCTGCGCTGCAGCGACATCGCGTTTGCGGCCTCGCGCTCACTGTCTGCCGCTTGCCGGACCTCGAGCCAGTACGTATAATATAAGATATCAGTGGCCATGGTCACGTTCAAACATATTACTTACATCATACAGCGTGATAACAGATGCAAAGAATACGATAACAGATTCTTTATGCAATTCTTTATGATAGAATTGAAACCGCTTAGTATATTACATTGTTAGTAATAAAGTATAATCAGACAAACGAAATTCGAAACACAAATTTATATTGCTTGAATAAATAAATAAAAAAGTACGTCAATGCATGTTTAACAAGAATAAGGTACAATTATTCTATTATTATTAATCCCGTGTGTCCCGGCGTAAAATAGGTTACCCCTTCTTTTCCCATGGGTGTCGTAAGAGGCGACTAAGAGAGGGTGAGGAATGGGCAGCAGCGTCTTTTTTAAAACATCTCCAAAGCCTAACTGCAGCTGTCAAGCGTGGCAGCTACTGATAAAACCCACCTAAGGGAGGCTTATGTTCAGCAGTGGACAGTTACAAGCTGATATGATGGTGATAAAGGTATAATTATTGTACTTTAAATTAGATCCAATCATACATTGAACTCTGTAATAAGCATGTTTTTGGACAGTGTATTATAATCATAATTTCTCTATCTATTACAGATACTAGAACTACCTTTCGGTGACTGGGAATTGTTCAAACTCCTGATTATAAATCTACGAGAAATAGAGGTCAACATGCCTACTAATGCTCCAACAGTGACTGGTGAGTGTGACTTATTTTGAAAGATAAATCCATTCATTGCTTGCGATTAACATATAACAGTGTTTTTCAAAGTGTAGGTCGCGACCCCCTAGGGGGTCCTCAAACCTATAAAAGGGGGCCGCGAAAGATCACGAAGCCGTAAAAAAATAACGATTTCGCGATTTAATCCATGTGTGTTTAAAATGTTTCATTATGTATTATTTATTTATTATATTTAACCGATACTTATAAAAATAAATAAAAATATACGGATTTAATATTTGTAATATAATAAAATATACACAGATTCGGAACCGCGGGACTAACTCCCACGTTGCAAAATATTTTAACATATTAAGGGAATCGCGTTATGAAAATGTTTGAAAAACACTGCTATATAGTAACTATTAAATGTAATATGATGTGTCAAGCTTGGCATCTACTGGCAGAACCCCTCGAGCTTTGCTTTGAGGGGAATCGAGCCTATCTTTAGCAGTGGACAGTTAAGGGTTGATATGACAATGATGATGATGTTTCTTTACATGTAAATTACTTTCTTATTTTGTCATCGTAATAACATAACAATTTTATTTTTAGTAATATCCGATAAAACAACCGAATCGGAAGCAGACAATATCAAACCAACGAGACCTTCTTTGGATCATCAGCGTAGTCGGCCGTCCAATGTCGAAAAACAGGTGCGTTGTCATTTACAAATATAAAGCTTTATATTATTTATAATATATTGACAACATACCTTCACAAACCTATCACAAATAATCTATCCGATGAGATTCTAACACCCTTCTCTGTTATTTAAGTTGAATTTATTTCTGGTTACACCCTGGATTTAGGTACCCCAATGCAGAATTACCCTATAAGATATTTTCAAATAAATATCTTATTCATTAAATTATTATGTAATATTATATATTACTACTGTCTTTATGGAAATCAAGTGATTTAGTAGATATTTCTATACTAATAATATAAAGAGGAAAGATTTGATAGTTGTAATGGATAAACTTAAAAACTACTAAAAGGATTTTAAAAATTCTGTCACCTATAGAAAGTTACATTATCAGCAACATAGGATATGATTTATTCTATCTACCTGTTCGAAGCCGAGTCGGATCACTAGTAGGATATATTTTTGAGTATGAGTATACTTTATTTGCACTATACAATATAGGAAATAAGCAAGGCTACAAACTCAACGATACAATTGTATAAGTACAGTAAGGCGGTCTTATTGCTGAGAGCAATCTTTTCAAGACAACCTTAAGGTTGTATATTTTTCTAATTTACTATTTTAAATCATGTCTAAAAATGCTAAATATATGATAAACAGAGAACTTCTTGAAAAGTTTCTAAAACGTAACTGTTTAATAAAAGTAAGTATAATGAAATTATCATATGACAGAATTTATTAAGTTCTAACTATTATTTAACCTGAATTAATTAATTAATATAGAGTTATCAATATTATTTGAAATGTAAATTATTTGTGTGCAAATATTCATAAAATTGAATTTATGAGTATTGATAGATAGATAGATAGATAGATACTCTTTATTGTTTCCTCCAAAAGATTACAATAGTAAACTTATTATAAATATAAATAATTACAAGAAATAATCTCAATGAGAAAACAATGGGCGACCTTATCGCTAAGAGCGATCTCTTCCAGGCAACCTTTAGATGGAGAGGAGTAATTTGGTGGGAGGCACGATGAAAAATTTTTTGTTAGTTCTAGATATGGGAGATGTAATACATATAATAATATAAATATTATCCCTACTCATCTACACATGTATGTTCTTTCTCTGAGAGATAAAACATCTTGGATTTTATAATTACTAGTACGATTTTTCTTTTGTGAATTATATTAGCTTTTTCTTAACATATTTCTAATATATTCATATCTTTTTATAATTACAAATTCATCCGATACATTCTTTTGTCAACCGACTTCAAAACGACGGAAGTTCTCAATTCGTTTATATTTTTATTTAATCTTTGTTATCTCATAACTCAGTCAGTTGTAAACCGATTTAAAAAAAAAAGTTCTTATATCTAAAAGGATATACTTATACATTGGTCTCATAGAAACTTTATCTAAATCGGTTCAGTGCTTTAGTTTTTTAATCAAAATGACTGGTTTTGCCACAATTGAAGTCGTTTTTTTTTTAGAACTCTGTTGGATTATTTATTATTACAAAATTTTAATGATATAGAGTTTGCTATCTAAAAGATATTTGTACAACATATTTGATACGATCATTGCACTTGTTGCAGCCTTACCCGGAATATCAGGTGATTATTTATGTGCATAGAAATTAAAGTAGAAATAGTATTTAGAGATTCCACTCGATAGATTGCACTGCACTGTAGTTTGTTTGCAAATTGATTCAAATTACTTTATCATAGTTACAAAATTGCACAATCACAGGGAAAATTTAAAATAAGAAAATTGAAGCTTCATTTTACACTATAATAACATATATCCATAATTCTGATATATAAAAGTGATGTTAGTAAGAAGTTTTTGTTGTTGTTGAAAACGATTATTTACAATCGAATATAATTGAAGACATAAAAATATAATTTAATTTAATATATGATTTAAATGTGCCCTTTTATACTTTCATGATATATCAACATGTTTATATTATATATTACAGTGTATATACATAATATGTAAAGCTTAAAAATGTACTGCAATTACAGTGTGAAGTTTTTATATATTTATATATATGGATTTAGCAAAAATATCTTTACAATCTGTAACAAGACAAAAATGAAACCTATTTAATTCACTAAGCATTTCGATTCCTTATGAGATGTCAATAAAAAAGTTTTCCTATAATACACAAGATTGGCAAATAACGAGTTTAAATGGGCGAATCTATAGGAAACAGATGATTATTCAGTTCTCAACGAAAACAACAGCCCACCTACTATAAAAATTAGTAAGAAATTAACAGTCAAACGAAACTCGGTCAGATTTAAGCAGAAATGCTATTAATACTGTATAAATTCTGTCGTTTAGAGGCTGTAATAGTGATAAAAAACATCGCTCTCATTCTACAGGTCCCATTTCGGTATATACCTAAATCTTTTATTCTACACACGAAATTTAGGTAGAAAACTTCAGTATTACATTTTACAGCAGATACCGTTCTTATAAAAACTTTAATAGATTCCATAATATAAACGAGCCAATCTACTGAGAAAAGTTACACACAACAATACATACAAGAACAGTTCAGGATCGACTTCCGCGTGAACGTATCTGCAGAATTATCTCCTAGTCAAAATTTTTAATTGATTTTCAGTAAACCAATTATGTTGCACTAAACCTGGAAGACTACTGCAGTAAGAGAAATATAGTCTGTAATTAAACTTAATAATAGTCGACAACCTACACGCGCTCCCCTTAAGGTATATTAGGTAAGAAACATGTAATGAACTTATTTTTTTCCGTCATTTGGGTGTTTGAATCACATTCATGTTTTAATATAAAAAAAAATTATATATATATTACATTTTTTGCAGTGCATTTTTAAACATCATAAAATTTAATTTTTAATAAAAACAATACCAATGTTATGTAAAATTTTATTATTGTTTGATATATAACGCTGTATCATATTATCACAGTAGAGATACCAATAATCCAATTATGACTGGAAATGCATGAATGACTGTGGCTATTTTAATAAATATAATGCTTTCAATTTTCAACGTTGAAATCTGTCTATTTAAATCATTATCGACGATAATAATGAATTAATAGTCATATACTATGTATTTTCCACAGTATCGATTCACTTGTGTAAATTTTTAGTGTTTGATAAATAGTAGATGTGCTTTATTTTTGTATGTATAATTTAAGGTAAAATATCTTTTATCTCCATGCCAGGCCTTACAAGAACAGGCACGAAGAATAGGATTTTCAAAGGCTTTTTTTGCATACGTTTGTTTTTTTTTTTTTCCTCATTTTACTCATGTATACAACCGTGTAAGCCATGTAACGCGGTTCTACTTACTCTGGACTTCTCCTTCGAACAATATACAATCAATCGATCACTATCCAATAGGAGTTTGTGTTAAATGGGCCTTATAAATATTATGTAGTTTGAAAGGAAACTTGACTGTTTGTTAATTACGCTGAAACGGTTGAACGGAGCGGAACGAATTGTTACACAAATTACGGATCCATTTGACAACCTAAATTAATAAATGGATATTTCTCCCAATTTATGTAGGCAAATCCGCGGGTTACAACTTTACTACCACTCATATGTGCTGCCAGTTAAAGTAATTCTATAAATATATTAGGGGGAGATTTTTGTACAAATCTCGTTTGGACATCTCTGTCCCATTCGTGTTCCTACCGTGAAGCAGTTGTATTTGCATGGCTGTGTTTCGGTTTGAAGGGTGATATATGGCAGCGAATTTACAGGGTACAGAGGAATAACACCTGAGCCTTCAGGAATGGTAACGCATGGGGAGATATCACGAGCGAAACAGTATTATATCCATGGTACTGCTTATGTCTATAGGTGACGGTTACCACTTTTCATCAGGTGGGCCGTCAGCTTATTTACCATTCTAAGTTGCATAAAAAAAAATAAAAATATCGTTCATTTGCAGGTGACACTGGAGGAGCAAATGATATGCGGCGCTTTGCAAACTCTAAACGAGGAAGCAATGGAGGACGTGTTACAATCGGAGCCGGCGTCGCACCCAGGTGAGCCGCACCTGCGCACCATCCGCGAACACGGCGCCGTCCCGGGCGACCCTGAGGGTCTCCACCCCGGCCCCTCCCCCTCCCCATCCCCCTCCGCTGACTCCGACCCTTATCTCCACAATGACCCGCACAGAAACCCTCCTTCTTTCCCCAACCACGCATCATCCGACGGGCAGCCCGACCGTCCGGACCACGTTATAGTAAACGTCACCGATGATGTTTTTCTCTAAGCAATCAATAATGGGATGATTTATCCTCGGTACTTGTAATTCCATTCCAATCCCGATTATAACTGGTAACTTAACGCCGAAATCGAAATTCTACGATTGGGATCTCTATAACACATTGTCTCAGAAGGTGCATATTATTTATTTCGCCGATATTAATATTAACAATTGTCTTATAATTGTTAGAAAGGTAATAGGATTTGTACATGTAATATGCACAAAACATTTACTAAATTGAAATAGACTAGGATATAGGAGTTAATTTTCATATTTTTTTTTTATTTCATAAAATTTTAAGTCGATATTGACATTGTATATGCAGATTTTTTGTATTTTTATTAACATTCCAATTTATTAAAAGATTGTATATGTAATTATATTTATAGTGCCATCTTTAATATTAAATGTAAGATTTATATATAATTTGTGATATGAGGAATATCAAAGTTTGATTTTATTGTATTGTTATGTGAAAAATGTGCATGTAGATAATTGTTTTGATTAGTGAGAATTTATTTTTGACAATATATCCATAACCAAGATTTATTACCAAATTAGTATTTTATTTTCAAGTCCGTCTACTATGGAAAAATTTGGGACCCAGTTTTAAAAGACATTATTAATAAATAAGAATGTATTAGTACAATTTGTTAATATTTATGATTATTAACAGCAAAATACATATCTTCCCTCAAATGATGAGGCTAATGTAATGTACTTAATGTAAGAATAAAAAATAATTCTAAATATATTTCATTTCTTTGTTGTATAACGGTTCCTAATGTGATATTATATAAAGTTTATAGAAAAATTAAAATTTTCTAAGATGTATAATGTCATACCTATTATGTAGACGATCATAGCGATCGGCAGCCTCGTCGAATGTTCCGTAGCAATATCATTCCTAACAATTTTACATAACTGTTGTTACTACAATAAATTTAGAAACGTTACCAGTTGTTTGATTTCAGTCCCGCTAGGCGATAGCCTCGTTTATAGGTTTCGCCAATTATGAAATATTCAGCAATCATCGACAGGTTTCGTGTACCGCCGCGTCGGCGAGATAAAACAGGTGAATTTCCTTTCCCGACTCCTCCCGCTCCCAGTGTCACGCTTCGATTAAATCTCGGCGTTAGAGGAATACTTTGCGAGCTGACGTGGCTTCCTCGCTTTCAGACGAGGAGCACGAGCTGCAGCTCGAGGCGGCGGCCGCGACGCCGGCGGCCAGCCCCGCGCCGGTGCGGCGTGACGCAATCCTCAAGGGCGGCGGCAGCCTGCGCGTGCGCCGCGCCGCCGACCCGCCCGCCGTCACCTTCAACGTCGAGAACGAGGAGGATTCGGACGACGGCCACATCACGTTCAGCGCGCGGCCCGCTCGCTCGCGGCCCTCGTCGCTGCTCGTCGCCGACGACGCGCTCGACGCGGGCCGCCTCTCCACGCGCTCGCGCTCCGTCGAAGACTCCACGCGCACTGGCTCGCCGGTCGTCGACCTCAAGCTGAGAAACCTGCGACGGACGGCTGAGATCCTTCGCAAGGTGAGCTCGGCCGAGCGGCTCACGCGCCTCAAGGACAAGATCCTCGCGCGCGGGAGCGGCTCTCGCGAACGGAGCCCGCCGCGGGACGAGGCCGCCGCCAGCGACGACGAGTCGGCGCCGCTCGTGTCCTCGTCGGAGCAGAGCCACGCGGCCGCGGGCTCCAGTCCCGAAACCTCGCCGACGGCCGCGCCCTCCGCTCGCTCCCCTTCGACGATGGCATCGCCCTCGACGGCGTCGAGACCCATAGACGTGGACTGCGGGAATCGCAGCTTGCAGGATGTCACCGCGAGCTCCGATTTCTCGCCACGCTCGGATATAACGGAGCTAGACTCGCCGCGCGATGGAGCGACAGATTTTGACCTTCTTCCGGCGAGTAAGACTAATGATGATCGTACGGCGCCGAGAGTTCACATGGAAAGAGAGGACAGCGGAGCGTCCGTATCGAATATGATAGAACCTTATAATATGCGTCTTTTAGCTCATGGTACGTCGGAAAACTCCCGAGCTTTGTGGCGGCAGGACGCCCTGGATACTGGGCCTCCTTGGCCATGGGATGAGCCGGACTCTGCAGTCTGACCTGATATGAAATTTTGATCGAACACTGTCGAGTAAACGTTACGACGTCACCAAGTTATAAACGTGAGTCAAATAAACACGTTATGTAAGGTGCAGTCATTTCAGATGAACGTAATGACAGAGATGGACCAACAGCACCTTATGATTCTACACGATACAACATGCCATTATTATATAATTATGACACCCTTATTAATTTTATATTAAGAATGACAAACGCGAAATTGTGCAGTTACATCTTGAAGACTTAATGGCTTAGCAAAGAGGACTCGGGCTCATAGGCTTGGCCCCAACGATGCAGACGAAATCTCGGACTATCTACATATATATATAAGCCTTTATTCAAACAATATTTTTTTTTTATAACAACTTATTTATTTAATTGCTATCGTCTGTTTGCTTATTAGCAAAGGCCTCCTCCAACTGCCTCCAATGTTCTCTATTGCTAGCGATTCTTGTCCAAATTCCACCTGCTTCAGTCCTAATGTCATCTACCCATCTTCTATGTGGTCTTCCTCTTTTCCTTTTTTTTTATCTTTTGTATACCAAAACATTATCTTTTTACTCTATTTATCTCTCCCTCTAATTGGATAATGGAAATTTCGGACAAAGCTAGTATAATATATGACGTTATTGTAGAACGTAGCTTATATAGAAGCATGTAGACAATACACAGCAATAGTTGCAAATGTTAAATAGTCGTGTACTAAATTTCACACAATATATAAATATTGCATTTATATGTAATATTGATTTTATCCAGAATTGTGATATTATATTCTTAAGAATATTGAAATAAATTTAATTCCCGATGACATACTCTTTAATTTTAATAAAATAAGTGGTTATGTTAATTCCATATCGTTAAGAATACATATAATGTAATTAGGATTAGTATACTAAACAAAAGCATAGTACACTCATGCAAAAGGAAAACTCAAAATAATACCACATACCTAAATATTCTGATCTAAAAGGGGTGAGACGCAAAGAGACTTTACCCAGACTCTTTGTTTTCTCCAAAAGATTACAGTAGTAAACTTATTATAGAATACATTTCTACCGTGAAGCAGTTATGTTGCTTAGCTGTGTTTCGGTATGAAAGGTGGGATATGGCAGTGAATTTACAGGGTACAGAGGAATAAAACCTTATTCCTAGGGGGAGAAGCGATTGTTAGTAATGGGGATAAGTAGCCCCATTGCTAGCTATATACTATATCAGGTCGACCTCCCCTGGAAACCATCGTGATTGATTTATTGTTAGATTCGTCACAGTGAGCTAACGGACCTGCTGTATCCTCACCTGTCATCCCTCACTAGTGCCCCTCCAGTATATACCGATAGCGCAGACGGGGTGACCTTTCCATTATCATTCATTAAAAAAACACCTTAGTCCTCAGGAATGGCAACGCATGAGGACTATCATGGGCGAAACAGTATACTCTTATGTCCATGGTACTGCTCGTGTCTATAGGCAACGGTTACCACTTTCCATCAGGTGGGCCATCAGCTTGTTTGTCATTCTAAGTTACATAAAAAATAAAAAACATAAAATTACAAGAAATGATCACACTGAGGAAACAATGTGCGGCCTTACTGCTAAAAGCGATCTCTTTTAGACAACCTTTGGATGAAGAGGAATAATTATATAATTATAACATTTTGGTCAGATACACAATGAAAATTCAGTTACGTATGTTATACATATTATTATATTTTCTGTGGTTATACTAAGTATGTTTATTTTTAAATATATATTTATAAAAAATTTAATAGACCTAGGAAATATAAATGGTGGACTTAACATCATATGGCGTTATCTACCAATCAACCAAAGACACGAAATAATATATAATTTGATGAAACGTAATAAACAATATCCACGTCGAAACGTCGGCAGTAAAGAAGCAGGTAGGTACATTATGTAGGGATTATTTACCTGTAAAGGCTTTTACATCGCGTGAATTCCCAATTGTGTATTTAAAACATCCAAATGTTCATCTCCATAGATGTAATACATGTATGTATATATATATATATATATATATATATATATATATATATATATATATATATATATATATATATATAAACATCTACATAAATATATATGTACTCTTACCAGATAAGCAAATTTCGAAGATGACAACTTGGTCAAATAAGTTTTCTTGTTTTAAAATTTTGTAGACGTTTCGCATTGAAACTGGTAAACCATTTCGTAGTTGTCCAGTTTGTTCATTAAACGATTTATAGTAAAAACTAGAGAAATGTGCTGTTGTCTTCAACTGGAGGCCCTCAGACGGCCTAGGATGCAGTGGCTACCTACTCGATTTTTTTTGAACGAAACTGGGAAATGTATTCATATTTTCTAAGACCGAAAATAAACCTGATAAAAACATTTTACAAACGCTAAAGTTTGTTAAGTTAGTCTTCCGTAAGATCCAGATAATAAGTATGGATATAATCAGGAATTGGGAGTAGATTGTGATATCGCAATGATAGCATTAGGTAGGAAATTATACAGATACGAAAACATTCCTGCAGAACAATTTGTTTGTGGTCGCCAAGTAAGAGAACTTGACAATAATTACACCTAGATCTTTTATTGATAAACTGAAAGGGACAACCATATCACTTAAACGCATATAAAGGTACTAGCGTTGAATCTACCTCTTGGATTAGTTTGGAACTACCTAATAGTACTAACTGAAGTTTGGAAAGATTTACTTTCAGTCCAAAAGCCATATTCCAAATTACTTATGGTATGTCGACAACTCTAATAAAGACGCAGGCTTCTAACGTAGTCGAAATTAGCACTAATCAAATAGATCATGATGTCTTTGTAAAATTAAAGGCATATACTGTAGTTATGAAATAAAAAACAGTTTCATCATTTGCAGTATTATATTATGTTAAACTGAACAACTTTAGTTTTAACTTTCAGAACCGTGATAGTTCATCGACGTTGATACATAGATGAATACGTAACATAAAGAAGATTATCACTTGATATTATAAAATAAAATCGTAAAAAAGTAATAAAAATATTGCAATAAGCATTCATCTTAGTATTTTAATCCACTATTAACTTTTTACACACCAAATACTAAAAACAATATACTATAAGAATATCAACAACGAACTATGTTTCAGAGATCACAAACAGTATCAAAGTCTACAAATAGCTATTATCTATATATTCAAAGATATACATATTTATATAAATATACTTAATTTATCATATTTAAGACCTCAATAGTGCCGAATTAACGAAAAATTAATTTCAAGAATTCTATTGTCGATGTTAAATATATTTTTTGATTCATACAAAATGAAGCCAACAAGAATTATAACTTATGAAAGAAAGTAACATCTATTATTATTAATTTATCTGTAGATTCTTACGATCACAATTTCAATTATTGTGCATGTACAATGATAGTGTTTACAGGAAATTCTATGAATTAAGCACAATTATTGAAAATCTTAATAGGCATTATTATTAAGCTTTCCAATTAATTTAATTATAGTAGTACGAATAATCTCACAATGGCTCTAATCGCTGTTAATTTGTATATTAATTAACAACCAATCTATACATATGAATACTTTCAAATTCGATTCTCAAAGTACAGATTCACTCAAAGCTATAGACTCCACGTATATCCTATCATCATAATAAATACTAATCGGCTAAGATGAAACATTGTCACTTATTTACTAGAATTCTATATTTAACTTTCTATATCACTTGTATTTTGCTAATATTCGTAGCAGCGGCGTCCTCTATAGATTTATCCGGAGGATCGGGGCTCTCGAGGAGCTCGTTCCTGTTGTCGTCGCTGGCGACCTGTCGGCCGACTCGCAACGCGTCATCCGCTTGGAGCGCGGGGCCGGGGGGCGAGTCGGGCGCGGGGCCGGCGGGCGCGGGGTCGGTGAGCGCAGGCGCGAGGTCGTTGAGCGCGGGTGCGGGGCCAGTGAGCGCGGGCGCGGGGTCGGTGAGCGCGGGCGCGGGGCCAGTGAGCGCGGTCCACCAGCCCGACAGCGCGCCCCGCGCCTGCGACAACGCGCCGCCGACGGCACGCGACGTGGTGGCCACCGCGCGGCCCGTGCTCGCCACCGCCGCCGTCACCTTCCTGCCGCCCTCCGTCGTCGACATCGTGCTGTATCGTACGATCCAACTTATAATCCCCATCAATCTTACCACAATATATATCGCAAAACAGGGTGCGTTTACAACATATATTTTGGTCATCATTACAAAATCTAACTTCTGTATATTCTAATATTTGTCTTTAAATATAGTTTTTTTAATTTGTATTGGGGGAAGTTGGTATACTACTTATATAATATGAGTAGAAATTAGGTGTTAACATAATACGCCATACAGACCAGTATATCAAATACGCATACTCACTGTGCAAACTTTAATTTCATATCAGCTACGGACAGTTGTCCAGAGAAGGGGTGTACGGGAGCGAGATTCGCAAAAGCTTCGATGTCGCCATTGTTTGTATTTTTTAACCACTGCTGGTAAGCAGGTGTCGCCTTAAACGCAGACATAAATTGAGCATTGTAGGAATCTATTTCTCGGCTACCATCTGTGAAAACAATATATTGTTTATACCACTGTAACACTGAAGTGGAAGCTGCTGTCAACGATGGCCAGGAAGCATGAAAAACTTATATTAAAAAAAATCATAGAACAGGCCATCGCCTTCCTTTCCCATGGGTGTTGTGAGTGGCGACTAAGCGAAGGCAAGAGATGTGCAGCAGCGTCACTCTTAAAACATATCCAAGCGCTAACTGCGTTTTGTCAATCTGCCTGCCAAGCATGTCAACTACTAGCAAAACCCACCCAAGGGGCCTCCCCCTTATATTCAGCAGTGGACAGTTAAAGGCTGATACGATCTTTCCAAATAACTAATATTTTGAAAATGTAAGTTTTTTTACAAATAATTTATTCATAAAAATAAATAGCACTTTAATTACCTGGCAAAAGTGAAGTTCTTAGTAAATAAATTAAGTAACTTGAAAATTGGTCTCTTATCCACGCGTCGCCCTGCGTCGCACCATGACGGACTACGTGATCAGCGAACCGAAGGTCCTCGGTGCCAAGAACGAGTTGCCTTCTTAGCATCATATCGGCCGTCTCTATTCGCATCTCATTCAATTCAACTAAAACATCAAACAACTGACGTTTCTGCTTAAATAACACATTAGACGCTCCAACAATAAATCCCTGTACAGCAGAATCCGATAAGAGATCTAGATACTGCAATGATAAGTAAGGTAAACAGATGTAACCATCTTCAAAAAGAGACAGTGGGAAACCACATTCAGTCTGATCAATTTGTTGAGTCAAATTATATAATCCATCTACACTCATATCTCTAGCCATTGTAGGACTTTGCTGAGCTTCTGTTATAGATTTCTGTGATTTATATTTCTCACCAACGCTGTGACATTTTTCCCTGCCGAGATCTTGCCTATCAGCAATTTCACCAATAAGAGCCTCATCAAAACTCTGCCTACTGACCCTGTCCTTCTCTTCCAACATGTTACCAGTTTCTTTGGGTGATAGTTCTTCACTTTGATTTGATCCATTTATATAAGTGTCGTTTGATATTAAAATGTTACAGTCAACATCATCTTTATTTTTATCATCAACATTAGAAACCGGAGATAATGGTCTAGACAATCTGGAAGATAAAACAATTTTGTAATGAAAACATGTCTTAATTATTCTTGCTATGTATATTTCTGATTTACTAATTATACAATTTATGTTTACAAAAGTCATTTTACAAAGATCTATTAACATATTCATCAAAACGTCAAATCTTTCTTAAACCAAATTTAACTATTGAACTGTTTTGTCTTTTATGTCAAATTTTTAATTTGAAGGCAAGTAATAAATAAAACACTTCAATAGCTAAAATAGGCTTGTAGGACGTATTAATTTTTATAAGAGGGTTAGTATTTTGCAAGAAGCCGAAAGCAATGATGATATTAATTTTATAATAACCCCGCTTTCGACATTTTATCTAATAATAATTATGTAAAATTACTAATACTTACGTTACATTGGCAGCTCGAGTCAACCCATGTTCCAAACAGCGTGGTAATAATGACACGAGGGTTAACAGCGCGGCTGATAGCGGGCCTGCCGGCGATCCATACATAAGTACCTTGCGGCGTAACAGCAGCAATTTGAAAAGCAACAAAGCTTTATGACGCCAACTTTCTATTAGCCGCATCACTGATAATCCTGTAAATAGTATTTAAACAATTATTATTTCAGCTGTTAACTCTCCACTGTTGAACATAAGTCTTCCCCATAAAGGGAGTTTTATCAGTAGTTGCTACGATTGGCACGCCATGGTTAACAACCGTAGTTAGGCTTTTTTTTTTTTTTTTTTTTTTTTATACAACTTAGAATGGCAAACAAGCTGACGGCCCACCTGATGGAAAGTGGTAACCGTCGCCTATAGACATGAGCAGTACCATGGACATAACAGAGTATACTGTTTCGCCCATGATACCCCCATGCGCTGCCATTCCTGAGGACTCAGGTGTTATTCCTCTGTACCCAGTAAATTCACGCCAAAGGCTTGTAGAGATGTAAAACATGGAGGGATGCTGCTGCCTGCCGTTAAGTTCCCTTAGTCGTCACTATGGGGTATACCTTGATAGTGTAACAATTTAACGATATTTCTCACTTTCCGAATCTTTTCGGTTTGATTCCTACACAATATAAATATTTACATATATTCATAAATATATTAGTTGCTGTGTTCTGGGCATTTTCTATTGTACGGTTGTACAGACGCTATAAATGATAGGTCCAGTAGGAGTATCAACGGGACCATCGCGTTACTAAATACACGAAAAGAATTAAAAAAGATAAATCTTTTCATCATTTAATGATTTTCCTATTTACGTTGGTCATACTCGTATATGGACAACACAATACCCCATAAGTGGCTAATAGTTGGAAGTTCAAACCTAAATGTGGCTTATTTGGCAATACTATGCCTAAAGACCTTATATATATATACAGAGTTTCGTAATGATTTGATATGCAGTCTCGGCTCCAATTAAGGAAAATAAGGGATGATATGTCACATCTAAGTGTCTGGAATTATCTATTATATCTATACAATTATTGCTCCTTATACATGGCTCATTAGGAATAAGCTTGCACTGATACTTTTATTGACTTATTATATATTTTCATTGTGATTTTTTCTCTGGACAATTCTTTTCTACTCCACCTGTACTACAGCAATATGAACAAATTAGGTATTATACTACATATATTGCTGTAGTGATAAGACCACATTTATTTATTTATTTTTGTACATTCACTTATAATATAGATATTAGGTAATACCTTTTATACTTTATAAACGTAATATACATTTATATTTTTTGTATTACTCTTTAAATAATATAATTATAAGTACACACTTATATTACCTTCCAGAGTTTGATCTAGTTGCACTGGACAACTATTTAAATGTTTGAATGCATCTTCCAATAGCTTAGTTTGTGAAAAGTCAGCCTGTAGGAACCAAGCTCTGACTACTAACTCCATTTTAACAGCAAGTCGTCCAAATAATGGTGCTCTGCATATCACACAGACACTCTTTTGCACTGAACTTCGAGTCATATCTTCCGTTTTCTGTACTACTTGCTGTATAAAAAGAAAATCATGAGTTTTAAAATCATAATCTAAAATTATTTAATATGTACAAACATAATTTATTTGGCAATCAAGATGTCGGCAACGCACACGTAATACCTCCGGTATTGCAGGTGTTCATAGACTACGGTAACCACTTACCATCAGGTGGGCCGTATGCTTGTTTGCCCCTCAATGGTATAAAAAAAAACCTGACAGAAAATGTATACAGCCATTAACAACACAATAAACATACATATAAATGTATATTATACATCAAGTGGCCCCACATAGAACAGACCACCTTCCTTTCCCGTGGGTGTCATAAGATGTGACTAAGAGAATTTAATTGTCAAGGAATAGGCAGCAACATCCCTCCTTAAACATCACCAATATCTCACTGAAGTTAACAAACCTGCCTGCCAAGCGTGACAAATACTAGCAAAACCTCCTTTATGGGGGAGGCATATGTTTAGCAGTGTACAGTTAATGGCTGATATAATAATAATAAATAAAATACTTGGCACAGTTAGTAAAAAAAACATAATATGGTTTTTTATCAAACTATATTGTTATCTCAATAAATAATTGTTACTTCATTTTCTGGCACTGTATAACTATGTTAAAGTAAATGCTGTGAATATCTATAATAGGCATGTGCATTAATATTGTATTATATTTAATGTTTGTTATACCTATATGTTATAATGCAATATGCTGTTGGTGTTCCCTAAATAAATAATTAAATAATAATAATAAAATAGATGGCAATAGAAACAAACAGGAAAATTAAAGAACATTTTTATATTAATCCTACAACTAAAGGCAAAAACTTGAGAATGTTGACATTTGTTAGTCTCATGCAAAAACTAATTTCGTGTTTCACTAATTTTACCAAAAAGGACTGCAATTTCGTCCATGTTATTGGGATAAATAGTAGCCTTGTCCTTCTTCATGCCAAACACTATGTGTATATAAAATTTTATGAAGATTGAGTGATGTATTTTTAGGGCATTAAAAGAAAACACACTTATAACTAAGAATTTCAATAAACATGTAAAAAGATATTTTTTGTGTTAGATATTATAAAATATATTAACAATATAAAATATTATAATTATATGTTTAAAAACAACAAGTTATATTACAGAATTATTCCAGAAAACTCTTCATACCTCTACTGGGATTTGTCGGAAACATGATACCCCATAGACTGTATGATCCGGCTCTGTGAGACCAGGCAAATTAAAAAATATTGTGTCTGAGAGATAATTATGAGATCCATCTGGTAAAGCAAGCGCTGGCAAGTGTTTCCATGGGGTTGGTAGTTCTGTTGGTCGGCCAGGTATTAATTCAGGATAGCAATGCTCCACCTAATGGTACAGAAAAATATATTAAAATGTAAAATAAGAAATAATACATTTTTTTCTTGCTAACAAAACATGAAAATAGTTCTTTATTCAAAAGACAGTTTCAAACAAATGTATATCTCTGGGTGACCTGTTTCATGTAATTTTTATTTTTGTTTTTACTTTTGTAAAATATATAAAGACAAACTACTTAGTTAAATTGTTAGACCTACATACCTAAATTCTATCTTCACACTAAACTCAAGTGGCAAGTGAATCCATAAATAAGATAGCAACATGGGATGGCTCATTCCAACTTGTTAACTCACAATAGTGATTCCATTAATGAATTTGTTGTACCACATTTCTGAGAGAGTAGGGTAAGCAAAGATAATAAGAGAGCCAAAGGCCTCTATCCTTACATACATCTCTTGCTTCTTTCATATTCATAATCTTTTTCTCTCTGACAAAAATATTATTTAAAAAAAGAATATAGCAGTAAGATAATAGTAATTAGTATTATCATGCTGTAATATTTTTCAAATACATTATCCATATAAAATAACTTTTTTATATGAACAAAGTACTTTTCCTATGTTTCCAATGATAAAAAATTAAAAATGTTATAATTAGTTATACAGCAATGTGAAGAACTATGGAAACATATATACAACTGATCTTATTTATACCTAAATATAAAATATAAATTTCATAAGCAATAACTCACTGGTATCCAGCCAAAGTATAATATGCTTAGCAGATTTTACCATTATTACCATACATTTAAAAGACCACATTACATACATGCAGTTTGTTATACTATCCCGAGATCACATGGAATACTTTTCATTATGATTTATAATCAGACTTTCAGGTTTAAAATTTAATAACACTACCACACATGCAATTAACTGTTTAATTGTATATATAACAGATCTACAATAGCGATTCTATGTTTGTATAGATTTACACAATCATAACCTGTAAATGTGAAAATGTAAGCTGTAGTACAGCTTTACATATCAAATCTGTAGGCAATCATTTACAAGTTGTATAAAAAAAAAACAGCTTGAATATAATATCACAAAACTTTTCATAGAACTATATGAAACTTTCTATGCCAACATAAATATAAGTAGCAATTATCTGGCAAGTTTAGCTTAGTTTAGTAAAATTTAATAATTTATATCTGAAAATGATCTAGGATTATTTCAGTGTCAAGCTCATAAATGTGTTTTTGTTATTATTAATTGAATGTGACTATCAAATGTTAAATTTATCAAATGGTTGAATATCTCCAAGTATACTTGGACTCACAATTCACTGGTTGTTACTAAGTATTATAAGTTCCATCCACATTTTCTATATTCTTAAAATTTATCGATTAATAAGAGCCATGACGCCTACACTTACCTGGCATCCTTTTTTGTGATGGAAGCCGACCACGATGATATTAAGAACTGGTTCATTAATAAACGACATTTTGAAAATTTTAGAATTTTACATTTCTTATATTTTTTTTGTTGCTTTTTAATAAATAAATTAATAATTATAATTTTTAGAAGAAACGTCAAGATCAGTCAGACACAAACTTTTTTTTTTATTATTACAATTTAACCACAGAGAAAGAATTATTACGTTTTTGAAGAATCGACACTGCCCCTTACATCAAGGAAAAAAAATCCTTTGCAACCATCTAGAATATTGTCACATAAAGTAGTTTATGTAGAATCTCGAGGGACGATGATCTTCAAAAAATACTCATTGAGTCAGCGAAAAAAAGAATTGAGGAAGGAAGTATGATAGTGATCTCGTGTAAGCGGAAACTGACATTTGATTAATGTAATAATTTTGTTGTTTAGTACTTATCTGAATATGTAACAAACAGACCGAGAACAATAGTTCTATTTGTATCATCATAAGTTTTGTAAACAAATTTGTTTTCGATTTTTAAAACATTAGTAACGAATTAGTATATCTCTTAAAAATGTTAGTAAGATATTCCTTTTGGTAGATTCAATACATATATTTAAAATTGTAGAAATTTGCTCATTTAATAATACTACATACGAGTTCGGAATCATATAAACTTATAGAGCCTGTAAACAATTTTAAATAAGCAAATAGGCGAATATACTAGGAGAAGGCCTAAGTTGTTAAAAAAACGCATATGTATTCTCAGACTTTTTTTGCAAAGCTACTCTTGTATCCTGGGATAGGCACCAGGTAATTCTTGGTTGAGCACTGTACGCCTAATCCCCTCCTTCTTCTTTAAGTAACCATATGAGCAGAGGGTCTACTCAAAGCCGAAAAATAAAAGAAATGGTTTACGAGGTGAAAAGTTTAGGAAATTTTATTCATAAGCATATTTAAAGTTGGTGGATAGGTGGCCTTACCCGTCCTAGTATTGTCTGGTGGTCACCCCAAGATATAAACATAGATTCACAAATATATTGAAACAGAAAAACAAATTAATATATATATATATATAATTATTATAATACTAGTACTATTGATACTTGCAATACTGTTTATATCAGTAGGTATAATAAACAACTATCCACTTGTACAGTGTAAAATTTTCAAATTTAATGAACTGGTTACATAGAATTCATATAAACACTTTTTTTAGTAGTAATAGTTGTTAAAGTAGTTTACTGCTAAAAGATATCTGTGCAAGTAATATAGAAAGAGAAAAAAAAATAAGTCACGGTTTTTTAATCTATGGTAGCATTTTGTATAGTTTATAAAATTCTTGATTTATTTACAATATTTTTTACTACTAGTCTTTTTATAATGCCTCTATAGACAATTAAGAGACTTTTTCATTTGTAGGATTTAGTTTTTTTCATTAGTCGGATTTACTTTTTCCTCCTAAGTACTTAATTGTACAAGTGTCTGTAGATACCTACGTAATAACAGCCATCAGCTTGTTTGCCATTCTAAGTTGTAAGTATAAAAAAAACATGGTACTCGATCTTTTGACTATATTTTAACGCACGAACTTTTCATAGATATTAATGTAATTCATTTTCGTCACTTGCCCATTAAGGGCAAAGCTTTTCTGTAGTCTCGAACAGTAAAAGGTAATACTTACCACTTGTTAAAGTCAAAATGAACAACACAGCACAGCTAAATAGTAATTAGCATATGCTACTTGTACATATTAAGGATCATACTTATGATCACTGCGGTGATGAGTACTTAAGGTAGGTAACTATACACTCAAAGATTAATTGCGTATTATTTAGTTTGTGAAGTTTCTAAAAAAAAAGGATTATATCTTTAGGAATAATATTAAGAGCCAAAGCATTCAAAAGAACTTAATAATGTAAACAAACGAATAATTGATTCAACCATAAGATAGTTTGTAAATATCTAATAGTAGTATAAATAAAAAATCAATCAATTGATTGATTGAATGTTTCGCACTATTACTAATTTCATTAAAGGATTGTTTCAACAGAAGTAATTACAAATTTGATTACCTCGTCATTACGTTGTATTGAAATAGACGACACTAAGTTTTTATGGGCGGATCATACAATTGAGATGACCGGATGACAGTATATTTATTGTCTATGGCGTTGCTTTCATGGCCATTCATTAGTAATTTTCTGTTTCTATTTTGATTTTCCATCTGTGGACAAAAATTGTTAACAAAAGTGATGTTTTCGTATTTTTAAAGTGTTTGACTTTCGATAATTAAAATAATTGATTATGACTAGAATTTACAGTGTTAATATAAATATTTGACTGTTTATATATATCTAGACACCATTACATTTCATTATTTTTATTTATCCGAATGTGATATTGTTGTGCTTGGTATTTTTTTACCTAAAATTTTACCATGTCGCCATTTTCGTAAATAGGCTACTGAAACTTTTGGAACATTGAAAAATTGTGATCAGATTTTCATTGCGAACGTTTAAAGTGATGTGCTGTGATTTTCGACTTTGATCATGGTTAAAATTTACTTCGTTTGTGAGGTTAGAATTTATTTATTTTAACTATTTCTTTTTTATTAATTAATAATTAAGTAATTCTACATTTTAGAAACTACTACTATATTATGAATATTAGATATACAATATAAAATATATGTCTATATACAACTAAAATATATAACAATTATTACATGTAAATAAATATTATTGAAATATTTTCATAATATATGATTCAAGTACTTAAATGAAGAATGTAGGTTGTTAGTGTTTACAATAAATAAATAATAATAATTAGATGATCATTTGTTGGAGGAATTGTATTATGTATCCTTCTGAGATGTTATGATTTGTATACATACATGTAACTAAAAATTTGCTATTTGATAATAAGCATTTATATTTAATGGATGATCTATGACTATATAATGATGACTTATTAATGCCCAGATAGGTGTTTTTCATCTAAATAGACAAGTGTGGATTTATAAATTAACTGAATGTCTTCATTTCAGTTTTGATGAACTTGATTAAATTTGTATTGGTATATTAATATACATAATTATGTAATTAGGCTATTGGAAAATTTGCATGTGTAATTGTATTACTGTAGGTGTATGTTAATTGTCTTGGTTTATGGTATTTTTTTTATTATCTGAGATCATGTACTAGATCTATTGCACTTAGTACAAACATTGTATAGCCATATCATCATAGTCGTAGAATACTGACGGATCTGATAAAAAATTACATATAAAGATCCATCGGTATTCTACGACTATGACGATATTACATTTTAATTTATTGGCTACAGTGTTTATGTTATTAAAAAAATCAGATTTTACCTGTGTCTTTATGAGACCAGAATATACATATTTACTGACCCTGACTGATAAAAAATGGTCTATATCTCTCTCAGTATAAACTAAACTTAATAGTGATCGGTTAAGCCGTTAGGCACTATAATGTAACAAACAAACTCACTTTTAATTAGTAATGATAATAAAATTTTCCATTACCCTATCACTTATGCAATAATAATAATTATTGTTTGGAACAGAATGTTTCAATAATTAACATGTTTCTATGTGTTATGTATTTCATATAATACAATTCAATACACATAATAATATAGGTACACAGCTGTTATATTATTGGTGTATTGTGTATGAAACTGAAGTATTAAAATGTCAGTTTTGAAAATTAGTCATGCTCTATGTAATGTTACAGTAATCTGAAACAAATTAATTTAGAATGTAAATATTTCTTTGGTGATTTAAACAAAAATTGTGAAAGTTTTAATTTTTCATTAAGTCTTATTGAAACAGACTACAAATAATTGTTTTTAAAGGATAAAAAAAAAATTACTATATATTATAGTGCAGTTTTCGACCCATGTTTTTATGTTTGTTACCTCAGAACTTCATCATAATCTAAATAACATAAAATTGTATCATAATGTGATTTTTCCCTTTTTTAATAGTAATTATAAAATAACTATGACCATTATTCATTATTATGATTTTTCAATCTAATAATGTATTTTTTGTCCTCTGGTAGGTAATTTTTATTGATAAGAACTTTGTTCACTTTGCAATAGGTATGAGTAATATTTGTAATAATTATCAGTGCTGTAGAATTGATATAAATAGGCTGGGGTAATTAATTAGATATGTGCTCTATATACTCTCTTTATAAATTATCTTATTATAATAATTATCAGGCCTAATGTTCATGTTTTTAACACAACACATACAGCAGTGACCTTAAAAAATCTACTTTATATCTATTATATATAATAAGTAATGTTGTCTTTGTATTGCGTGACATAATGATATTGTGTTACCCACGTTGGGTAGATCTGATCCGACCTACTTGTTTAGAGATGCGATGGCTTAATACTGCCTTTCTTTGTGCTACAGTACATTTCCTACCATGTTATGTGCAAACCACAGGTGCAAAGGAAGTGATGACGTGGTTAAACACACAAGAGTAACTTTTTGACCTGGCATAAGTCTGTTGCAAATTACTCTTGTAGAGGTATATTCAAGGTCAATTTTGACATTCCTGTATTTATAATATACCTATGCACAATTATTTTATTGTCTCTATTGTAAGAGTATTAAGATAGATAAATATTTATTTTACATTAGGTTCATAATTCGTGAGTATTTTTTAAATGTTTTGTTTAAGTTATGGTCTGCAAGTTATGAGGGTTGAATAACGCAATAATGTTTCCTGCCTTTTGTCTGAAATTCTATCTAAACTACAAACACTTATCTTATTTCCTTTTTTGTTTTAGGATTCAAATGACAGCTTCTTAGAGTCGTAGGCATGACGGAGAAGGTGTTATGCCCTGGTAAGTGCTTAATATCATACTAGCCATATTCCGCAGTTGCGCCTAAGTAAATTAGGACACAACTATCTAAGTTATATGTATTATAGTTTATGGCATGTTTTATTTTAAGACTTAATTGCTAACAATTTACTCTCAACCTCCACACGGTTTGTCTTGGAGGTCGCCATGTTTAATATCTGATGAATTGATCACGGTGAGTTAACTAATCTGACTTCATCCTCATCTAACATTGCTCACTGGTGTTCCGCTAGCATATAGCGACAGCGCAAAAAAAAGTAACAATTTTTATTTCAATCCCTTCAGTCATCTAAAC